CTACCCAGAGACAACCTCTCTTACACTTTACAGTCTCACGCGGAGTTTAGATCTAGATCCTTGTGTGATTCTCTCGTTGTTTAGTTTATAGTTCTATCTCTCATAACTTTCTTCTCTCAACTAAAACACTTGAAGTCTTTCACTACTAGTCTTTAACAGAGTAGTGCATTTTGTTAACAAACAAATAGCTTTCAACTACCCTCAACCTATTCCTTCACCATGAAAGATGGCTCAAGGAAAGCATGCGTTCCGCAACTCGAAAACAGTTGCGTGACAGACCCATTCTTCCTCTCGTACAAGACGAAAAAACGAGATCGACGATACTCGTGAAACACTTGCAAACTTCAAACTCATGTTTGCCAAGCGCAATTAGAAAACTCTGACAATGAGGACAACTCCTCTATCAACTTCATCACTTGGATGGAGAAATCTCTATCTGAGGATTAGGCCAGGATGATGATTCAACGGAACCATGTTCCGATTTCTCACTACCAAAGTGATGAATGATATCTCATAACTAGTAAACAAGAATGTTTGCAACTGATGAACACTCGGCAAATTAGAATGATTGCCTAGAAGCTGCTACACTAGACTCTGATGATCTTTTTAGCATCGTTAACCTCGTCCGTGGCCACACCTCGTAAACGTCGCAAGACAAGAGACCTCAAACCCATCGTCTATGTTAGATTTAACAAGCGAGAAAAAAGGAAACCAAAACCGTTACACTCCGTTGCTTACTGATACAGGAGCATCTGGAACCTTGATTGCTCAAACTCATGCTAAGAAATTACGCATGAAGGATTTGGGGGCGTCCAAACATATGGACTACCCTGCAGGAAATTAAAACCAGCACGAAGTGCAAAGGTTCATTCATGATTCCTGAATTCCACGAAGATAGAATTATCGAGTGGGACTTACACGTCACCAAGCTTGGGGGCGTATGACATGTCATAGGTCGAGATATTCTCCTGACTTAGGTTTCAAGTTCGATTTCACTACCATGTCAGTGGAATGGAACGGCGCATCTATTCCTATGAAAGATAGCGATACCGAATGAAAGAAGAAAACTTTTTTCATTCCTGATCCTACGCTGTTGATGACAGTGCAGATCTCTCAAGAAGATTCTTGATGCGAAATACAGAACAAGCTGACTTAAGGCAGGTTTGCCAAAGTCAAGATCAGTTAAACCCGGAAGAGAAGGAAAAGCTTCATTCCTTACTGACAAAGTACTCCGACCTATTCGATGGTACTTTAGGAAAGTGGCAGAATGGACGACTACGAAGTAGAACATTCTCCCTGATGCTAAACCCTATCATGCAGGCTTATCCTATTCCACGGGTTCATACAAACACTCTTAAAATGGAGGTTGAAGCGTCTCTGCGAGGCAGGAGTACTCAAGAAGGTAAACCGTTCCGAGTGGAGCGGACCACTTTATCAATTCCCAAGAAAGATGGACTGTACCATTCATCTCTGACTCCGGGAACTGACAAAACGATTAAGCGGAAGCCTTATCTATCCCAAAAATACAGGACATGCTCTTGAACCTAGACGGATTTAAGTACGCTACTAGTCTAACCTGAACATGGGATACTATCATCGAGCTGTCACCTCACTCGAAGCAACTCTGTACTATCGTACTCCCGTGGGAAAGTACGAGTACCAGAGTGTTGCCAATGGGCCTATGTATAGTCCCGACATCTTCCAAGAGAAGATGGGAACACTAATGCACGACCTAGAATAGTCCGTGCATAATTGATGATCTAATCATCCTAACTAACGGCGATCTAGCAGATCACGTGAAAGTTTGATGAAGTTCTCCGAAGGTTTCGAGAAGCCGGATTAAGATCAATGCTACCAAGTCCTTCTTCGCAAGAGGAGAACTTGAGTACCTAGGTTACTGGATCACTCGAGAAGGAATCCACCTTACTAACAAAGAAATAGAGCGATCAGCTATCGCTTCCTACCAACAGGAAGGAACTCCGTAGATTATTGGACTAGTGAACTACTATCGAGACATGTGGATTAGACGATCACATGTACTGGCCCACTCGCTTCGTTGATTCAAAAACAACGAAGTGGAAATGGGAAGCGGACACGACAGGCCTTTAGCCAGATGAAGAAGATCATCAGCAAAGAAACCTTGCTCGCCTACCCTGATTCAACGATACATTCGTTATCCACACGGATGCGAGTGTACTCAACTAGGTGCGGTAATTTCCAGAAGGGAAAACCTATCGCGTTCTACAGCAGGAAGCTCAACCTGCTCAGACACGTTACACAGTTACCGAGAAGGAACTTCTCAGTATTGTAGAAACTCTGAAAGAGTTCGTAACATTCTTCTAGGACAGAAGATCGTTGTACATACGGACCCAAGAATCTACATGTAAAACTTCAATACCGATCGCTTATGCGATGGCGCCTTATTCTTGGAAGAATACGGCCCTGAACTACGGTACATCAAGGCGAACAGAACATCGTCGCGATGCGTTGTCGAGACTTAACATCTCCAACAACGCGGTTCTTCAGAACAGATGGACGCCAGCGAGATCGATGAACTCATGGCTGCAGACTGAGAGGACTTCCCTAGCGAGTTCACTCTCTCTCGTTCCCCGAGATCGAACATCGTCAGAAAGACGACAACGATATCAAGAAGCTCCTCAGGGACAAGCCAAACACTACAAGAAGCAATCTTTCCCCAGAGGGGATAAGTCCTATGACTTAGTAGTTAAGGACGAGAAAATCGTCGTACCTAAAATATGCAGAAGAAGCTAGTTGTATGGTACCATGGTGTGCTGATGCATCCTGGCGAGATCGCACGGACTAACCATCAATACACTACTACCTGGAAGGGCTGCGCAGGACTGTGCAGGCCGTATGTCAGCGTTGCCAAAGCTGCCAGATGAACAAACCAAGACGCGTAAGCTGGGATTGATGCCTCCAAGACTTGCGAGGAGATCCTTGGGAAAGACTATGTATTTACCTGATAGGCCTTACAACGTCGGGGATCCAAAAAAAGAATTCCTGCCATTCATTGCTTGACAATGATTGATCCCGTAACCGGATGGTTCGAGATTGCAGAGATCTGCTCCAAGGCAGCAGACGAGGTAGCCATCGTCCTAGAACAAACGTGGCTTACTGGTATCCATGGCTGCTGAGGTTATCATGGAAAGAGGACGTGAGTTCCTCATGAGAGTGACTCAGTAAAGCGTCCTTCGCTGTCAGAACTGAGGATCATCGCTTGCTTCTGTGACCGCGGTAGTGTATAGGGGAGTGCGCAAAATGTTCGATCCAACACTAGCGTAACAACGGCTCCTTCTATAAGCCAACTCCTCTATATGTGCGGCGAGACGTCACGTGGTACTCACTAGATCGGGCTCTTTGTGATATTTCTGTATGTATATATATATATTTTATTATAAATAGTTACGAGTTGCTGGGGATATTCTGAGGATTGGGTGTTGGTTTCGCATTTTGCGTATGAAATGCGTATATCGTATTCATACTCTATTTTTACTTTTATTTCTCTGCAACGGCCCGCATGGAGTCGTGTTCAAGTTTTTACGTAGCGTATATGCGGATCTATATAACGCGGCGCAATAGTCGGAAAGTTCATGAGACAGGCGTTCTTCATGACTGCTGCGTTCATTGAGCTAGAGAGTAAACACTTGTCGTGATAAATGGAAACGATCGCACACAATACGCTGACCTTAAAGTATCAAACTAAAATAACCAAACGAACACGGATTCGATAAACGCAACGCGTGTCCCTCATCAAATACAATGTCAACGATACCTCATGGATAAGCTTTCCAGCGTGATGAAATCTTCCACTCAGAGTAGCACTCCACTAGCAGTACGCTGCCGACCAAGATATTGTAATAGCGGCTCCGCTGTAATTACCTCATTGCGCGACCACCGTAGGAAGTGCAAATGACAATTACATCTCGGCCACTGCTATACACGGACCTACCAAATATATATTATGATCACACCCAACGGAGGTGAGTCATCTACCACTAGTATGAATCCCCAGTAAGACAGTAACTACACGGATAAAAGATATGCAGATTCAGCTAGTGATCCTTGAGGTATTAACGCCAGAGGGAGTGAGTCATAACCAGACTTGGAACTAAGGTATATACACCCATAACAAGGCCTGATCCCCTTGTGAGGATTGCCATCGTGCGACGCACATGTCTACATCCAAATCTCATGAGAGTGCCCCGCACTTTAAATCATACAGTATGTTCTCCTTGTCCGACTGCTGTCGCGCCTTCTGTGACCTTTTCAGGGGGCGAATGCAAATACACGGCTCTTAGCCTTATTCGCGACTCGATCCTAGATAGGGTTTGAGTTCGACTCATGACCTGAGTCTCTCGTGAATAGTCATTTGAGACAGGGTTCTCAATGACCGCTAGTCATACTAGGTTGATGATGAAACATCAGCTCTAGATATTTAGCCAGACGTGGAGTACCTCCACGCTACTAGATCCAGCAGTAGACAAACCTTCCACGCGTTCCGTTTTAGGATCGTGGAGAGACGTAGGATTACTACCACACCTACTCTATCACACCTTTAAACCGCAGATGTATGACTACCACAACTACTCTATCACACTTTATAGTCTCCCGCGGGAAGCCAGATCTACGATCCCTTGATGATGATCTCTCTCGTTGATTAGTTTTCATAGCTTTCTAATCCTCTCATAACTTTCATTCTCTCAAACTCAAAACACTCGAAAGATCTTTACACTAGCTTTTAGCGTAGTGCAACAGGAAGAAGACACCAAGCTCCCAGCGGAAGCGAACCAACCCTCCACTTAACACATACTATCACACAAAACTTGTACAACCTCACATATACCACGTTGACTTCAAAATTGCCAAACCTAAACCCTAAATATAAGCCACATGATTCATTCGATTCTATTCACCATAATCCTGTATTAGTAAACGAGTTAAACTAGTACTGGAAACGGAGACGACCCAGAGGGCATATGAATAATATTCGATTGTGAACCGCACACGAATCAATAGGGTTAGACGTTTTTGGATCTTTGACCCTCTTTCCTCATTCTCTCAATCTTCATTTCTTCGTCGACACCATCCACCACCATGGCGACGGCAAGCCGATTATTGAGAAACCCGTTGGCTTCAAGCCTTCGTAGCGTTGCAAAAAGGCAATCATTTCCATCATTCCGTCACTTATCGCTTCTTCAGTCCAACGGATCCATCAGTGGAAGCTGGCATGCCTCCGAAGTTTCACTGCCCACGAAACAAGTGCGATGTCACTCGACCACGAACCAACCCGTAGAATCTCGCACCAGCTCCGATGGTGTAGTTGGGCTTCCCATTGATTTTGATATTGCAGCCAAAATTGAGGGCAATGAAAGTCAGGTAAGTGAACGGATGATTTGGACATCACCCAGTCCGCCATTGATGTCAACCCGTTGCTCGCATGGTTTCTCAGATCATTCTTGGTTCTTCTTCTTGGATTCTGTTGCCGATTCGACTCGACTCACTCCAGATTGCCACTATAGCCTTGGAACCAGGCCAAGTGCTTCGAGCCGAGTCCGGGGCAATGATGTACATGACACAGGGAGTGCAAATGAATACCACCACGGGTGGCGGCCTTTCGTCTGGCTTCCAGCGTATGCTCACTGGACAGAACATGTTTATCTCTGACTACACGTACGAGGGAGAGCCAGGAACAGTTGGTTACGTGGCCCTTGGCACTGATTTTCCTAGCAAGATTGTCCGGCTTAATATTGAAGAATACGGTGGCAAATTGGTGTGCCAAAAGGGCGCTCTGCTTTGCGCATCCCACACAGTTGACATTCAGATGGAATTTTCAAAGAATTTCTCCACGGGCTTCTTTGGCGGAGAGGGTTTTGTGCTGCAAGGTGTGTACAAAGCCTAACAAACTGGTTGAGACTTTTCAATGCTGATGATTCGCTGACTTGGATCTGTTCACACTGACTTACATACATGTAGGTCTGACTGGGGAAGGAGACGCGTTTTTGAAGGCGGGAGGAACGTTGATCCGCCGGGATCTCGATGACGGAGAGCAGCTACGAATTTCCTCTGGTTGTCTGGTTGGTTTCTCTCAGGGAGTTGATTATGATGTACAGATGGTCCAAGGCTTCAAGGTGCGTTAGCATCATCAGTATGTGGAGGTGTGATATCCCAAGGTTTCGGTTCGGGCTGCACTCACTTTGTAATCTTCTTTCCACACGACCAAAGAACGTCTTTGCTGGCGGGGAAGGTCTGTTCATGACTACTTTGACGGGCCCAGGTACCGTGTGGCTACAGGGACAACCGCCGCAGAGGATGGTAAGTGAAATTGCGCGACGAGTGCCATCGGGCGGAGGCCTTGGCCTTGCTGTGCCCATCGGTGGCGTTGGTGGTGGAGGAGGAGAAGGTGGCGGTGGTGAGGGCGAAAGTACCGGTAGCTCGTAGCAGCCACTTCTAAGAGGCTACGGAAGAACATCACATCCTTATTAGGCATCCTGTAGTTGTTGAAATTAGAAGTGTAGTAGAACTCCCTGCAAGCGAGAGAACGGAAAGAGTGGTATAAGTCTGATTGTCACCCAAAGCAAGGTGCACGTTCGGTAGCTTCAGTCAGTGCTCTGTCTCCCTCACTCCAGCAATTTACTCCCAATGCTTCGAAGGTTGCTTTGCTTCTTGAATAGTCAGTTGGCTTGGCCATCGGTAGTTCTTGGAACGTCTTTCTGGGGTGATCGCTTGATAGAACTCGTACCTTCGTGGTCGTGCTCAGGCGCCCAGTCACTAGCTCAAGTTTTGAGGTTTTGAAAAGCTTCGATCACTCATTCGATGGTCACTTCCAATCCACCACATAAATTAATTGATCACCCAGGTTGAATACTGTTGATCTATCGGCAAACACTTATTTTGTCTTTGGTACTTCTTCCTGGCTAGCTATATAACGTTTGTCATTCGTTATAGTATATTTTTCTAAAGTACCGTATTTTTCTGGACCATCAAGTTGCTTGACGGCTTTTTGTTTATTGTTCTGGGGGCATTTTTTTTCCTGCTTTCTTTGTTGTATTAATAGCCCATTTTTCAAATACATGTCCACTTTCAACCTATTTTTTGTTTGTTTTTCTTGTTGTGTGTTGTCAACATTGGCCTGTTGATTGATTGTTGCTGTCGTTTGTTTCGGTTGCTGATTGTCGCCATTGGTGTTTGGATTGCACTTCCAATTATCATTTTTAAAAGCGAGGCCATCCTTTCAAAACTTCAAGTCTTGAAAGTCAACCCTGCCTTTCTTCCTCTTCCAAACTTAACTCAACGTGCTCGTCTCAGCTGCAATGCTACCACTTGCTTTTTCGTTTTCAACTTCTTCTCACAACATTTTGTGGAAATGACCTCGTTCCGCCTTGATAATCAACTGATGACGTGGATTGGGCACCAGATCCAGTAATTTGTCTCCATGATCATCCATGGCACCTGATGACAGCAAAAAAAAGCATGGATGAAATAGGATTGTTAGCAGCTGTATCGCATCAAAATTTCCGTTGTACATACTAACTACTACAATAACTAGTTTTGCACCACACACACTCACCTGTATCACAAAACGTATAGGAAATTCGTCCAGGTCCTGTGGCTCCGTCTTCTCGGGTGGACCCTTGCATGAGCCATGACACCAAATCGGCGCCACCTCCTTGTGCTTTTCCTCGTAGCATGGCATCCCGAAACATGTCATTGGAGAGTACGTATCCAGGTCCGATATTTTCTCGTTCTTTGGATTTGGAATCTTCTCGTCGTGCAATGGTAATGGCATAGGCATCATCGTCATCTTTGGATGGCGCCGAAACTAAAATGCCTTGTTGATCCAATCGTTTCAAGATGCGTTGATAGGGATCTCTATGCATCCACGTACTGGGAATGACGGCCAATACGCGAATGCCGGCTTTGATAAAGTACTCGCATGCGACGACAATGCCTCGAGCATCGGGTTCTGGTTTGTCGACTCCACCGGATCCCGCCTTGTCGTAGGCATAGGCAATATTGGCGCCGTCCAACACCACCATGGGAGCCTTTTCGCTCAAATCAATGACGCCGTACATTTTTTCGACCTCTTGTGTGGTTTTGGTATTGTCGTGGGTGGGATCGGCGGGAATGACGGCTGGTTCTTTGGCTTGAGACTCGACGGGCAAGGGTTCCTTGGGATCTGTGACAGCTTCAATATAGGACGGAGCTTGGGCGCTGCTTGTGGGCGCCACGACAAATTTTGTGGCAATGACTGGTTTGGGATCGACTTCCATCATGGCGGTATTGTTAGTAGGATTAGTAGTCGGGATTTCATAACTGGTGGCAATGGATGTGCCGCGCGACTTGCGACCGCGACTGGACGACTCATCCATCATGACATCGGCCGATTTTTTCTCGTCGCTGATGAGGCCACCTCCGCCTCCTCCAACGACAAAGGAGGTTTGTACGACGGATTTTTTGACAGTTTTGGTTTCGTTAATCAGAGTTCCCTTGGCGGCTCGTGCCAGAGACGACTTTTTGCCGGTCGTGGTGGCACTGGAACGTCGGCGATTGTTGTTGCTGCTGGCTGTAGTTGTTGCTGTGTTGTTGTTGTTGAAGTTCATTTCACTGAGACTGGCATTCAACGATCGATTGCTCGCATTCATCAGAGACGAGGAACTCGCTTGAAGACTGGTGGCGTTGTTGATTGTCTTTTTGGCAGGGGCGGGAGCTCCAATTACAAACAAATTGTCCTTTCCACCATTCACCTCAGTCGTCGCTGTCGTTGCTGTTTCTGTGCCCATGGCAGCATCGGCTCCACTTTCGACACTCCCCTCAATGGGAGCTCCTTCTTGGACCAGTTTAGGACGAACCGACGGCATCGTGAAAGCTGGGCTCTTGTAGTGCAGTGAATTATTGGAATGCTGGCTGGCTAGCTAGTACGGTAGTATAACTTCAATACAATAGGAGTGCGAATTGTTGAGGGTTCCAGAAAAAAGTGCAAGACCAACTCGAGGCGACTCTGCTGCGAACAGGCAATTGCAAGAGTAATACTCTGAGTATTTGTATGCTGGCCTGTCAAAGAAGATGGAGTCGAAGATTCGATTCTTCTTCCAATGCTTTCGAACAGATCCTGCCACAGCTCTCGGAGTGGTCGATCGTGCCATCATCCAGTGGTCGCTGTTTCATGCGTGGCGCGATCGAGATTGACAGCTGGGTGAGTCGAGTCCAGCCAGTCAACTGAGTCACGAATCATTCGGAAGTGCTTTTATTTCAAAGCACCTCGAATCCAACATCATAATAAGCTCCATCAAGCAAGCCACAACGAGCATCCTGCGTGATGATCGTGCTGTCCCATCCATCCTGGTGTGGCTGTGCCATGAGGTTTTCGTTTGTTGTGTTGCTGCTATTCTCAGCTTGCAGTAAAAGAAATCTAAAGTCTGAAGCTCTGAGATTCAACAACAACAACAATGCTGCACCTGAGGTTTCTTCCACTCTTCTGCGAGTCCATCGCATGTACACATCCCATCCTCCCCACGATGAGAGTCTCTACAACACGCTCCGTGTGAGTCCCAATGCTACCACTGCCGAAATACAAAAATCATATCGCAAGCTGTCACGGCAATGGCATCCTGATAAGCAACGGCACAACCACCACGATGATGATGCTCAAGAGCAGCTGGAGAAGGTACAACATGCTTACGACATTTTACACAAGGATGCTACCCGATTACTCTATCATCGGTATGGATTGCAAGACGTTTCCACAGCCGTCTTGATCTTGACGGGATATCAAAATACTCCCAAGGTGCCACCGCAAGAGTATCTGGAACTTCTGCAGCTCATGGGATATTATGTTCCAAGAATGGATAGTAGAAGAAACAATGACAGAAACGATTCACCTCCGCCACCGCGATCGCTGCAAGAAGTCCGAGAACAACGAGTACGATTCTTGGCGGCCACCACGGTGGAACGAATACGGCCACTGGTTGAAGGAACATTGTCTCCGGAATTGTTGGTCGATGCGTTTGCCACGGAATGCGATCGCATCAAGAAATTACCATTGGGATCGCAGATTATTCGTTGTGTGGGACGAGCCTATCGACATGCAGGACAACATCATATGAAATTGTTGCAACAACAACAACAGCAACAAGTAGCAGTTCAAAAACACTCCATGAGAGATCGATGGCACGATGCCAAACACGTGCTCACCGCGGCTGTGGCCAGTGGTCGGGTGGTTTTGAATGAGAATTGGTTGCTCAAAGCAACCACACCCAAACTCAAGACGGGGAATAAACCGTCCATTGCGTACCATCAGTGGGAAGACAACCGCAACACTATTGGTGGTTTGTTGGACAATGAGGAGAGTAGTAGTGATGACGAAGAGGAAGCAATAGATGCCACACAACTGCAACAACTAGAAGCCATCAAGGCCAAACAGATCATGGTGGAGTTATCCCAAGTCGAGGCACTCTGGAAAGTACACAAAATTGGATTGGATCGATCCGTTAGAGAAGCATGTGCCTGGATCATGAGTGGAAGATACTTTTTCTTTCCCTCCCATCAGCAACAATCATCATCATCATACGACGACCATGAGTCTCCTGTCGACGGTTGGGTCTCGTCTTCTCCGAAACAACAATATGCCATTGATTCCATGACAGCACGATGGAAAGCTGCATCCGCATTGGTGCTCATTGGGAATGTCATGGTGCACTCCTCCAAAGAAGGGACCTCTTGGATGGAATAAAATATTGTGATTGGGCCACACGTCATGAGAGCAAGAAATTGACCATGGGGAGATTCTTGATTACAATGGTCTTCGAGAAAGAATCTCTTTGTGGAAGACTCTGTCTCAGTTGGAAAAGAATCGACAAATGCACTGTCGTGTATGACACGACGCAGACTTAGCGCACTGATGAGATCAACTTGGCCGTCTACGATCCAGAAGAAAGGTGAACGGTGGCAAGGTTCATCATGGCCATCCACCACTGTAGCCGTATGAATGATGGCTGGACATCCCAACGTATTGGACAGCTTTGTCGAATGGCCAAGCAGCATCAATCTGGCTAGCTAGCTAGCTATAGCTAACGCGTTGGTAACTCATGAGAGATGCGTTTCTATTATCGCATGTTGGTTGCATTCTACGTTAGGTTTCTAAATTTCGAAACCAAAATGAATCAAGTGGAGATGTGTGTCTGTGTGCCTAATAGCTAGTGTTGTTGTGCTCGAGTCGAGTCATCGATCTCTGTACGTCATATTTCCCAGCTGTAGAAGCCTAGAAAGGAGTAAACTCCTTGTCAATGATGCTCTTGTGGTTGCCCATGGTGCCATGGCTGACCATGGCACCCAAGGCATCGACTACAATGCGCAGAGCCATCAGACTTGTGATATCTGCATGATCGTAGGGAGGGCTGACTTCCACTACTTCCATTCCACACAGGCCTTCCTTTGCCACCAATCCAACCAGCTTGAGAGCTTCTCGGGGCAACAAGCCGCCGGGTTCGGGCCACCCTGTACCAGGAACAAAGGCCGCCTCGATCGAGTCAATATCATAAGACATGTACACAGCGTCGCAGCCATCCCAGGCCAACTCCAAGGCCATTTCAGCAACCTTCTCAATACCAAGATGCTCAATGTCATCCATGGTGAAGATGTTGGTCTCTCGCTCGACCATGATGGGGACAGCGGGTCGAGGAACTTGCCATCCTCCAATGCCAATCTGGACTAGATTCTGTAGTGTCAAACGAAAAGAAGCAGCTGGTTAGTTAGGTCCTTGACAACATAGCAGAGCAGGTTCAAACTCAAACAAGCGCACAGCCTGCAAAAACAAGCCACTTTCCTTGGGGTTGACATTGGGCAAGTTGGTAGCATGAAAGTACGGAGTGGTATGCATCCTCTCGTCCAAATCCTTCTCCTGAATATCGGCATGACGATCGACATGAATAATACCAATATTCTTGGTGGTGACACTGGCAATACCTCGCACAGTGGGAAATCCGATGGAGTGATCACCACCCAGAATAATGGGCATGGTCCCAGTGCTAGCAATGTGAGCAATACCATTACTGATTTGATCAAAACTCTTTTCGAGGTTGGCAGGGATGGTGAAAATATCTCCTGCATCACAGAGCGTCATTGATTCGCGCAAGTCAATGCCCTTTTCGTAGTTGTAAGGGGTGTACAGAGCCGAAATGCGGCGAATGCCCTGTGGACCAAAGCGAGTTCCAGCACGGTAGGTGCATCCACCATCAAAGGGAACACCCACGACCGTGGCATCATAATCTCCTACGTTACGAGCATCTTCCACGTAGGGGGCCTTCAAGAAGGTATTAATACCAGCAAAGTGTGGTAATTCACCGCGGGAAAAGGTCGGAATAGTCTTGTCTTCGATACTGCTGGCTCCAGGGAGACCCATCTCGAGGGCATGAGCAGTTTCCTTGTCGGCCATCGTGGTGGGGATGTCGGCTTCCTGAAGCAGTGAGGTGCAATGACATGGTAAGATCTTGTTGTTCCTGAAATTTTGCAGCTAGCACCGAACCTGCTCATGCGCAGCACCTCATATCTTACCTTGAGGGCAGCCTTCCACCCCTTGGTCATCTTGGGCGACATGGGGTCGGGATGATGCGAACGCACATGTTGCAATGCGAGACGTGCTTGACGCTTTGTTGCCGCAGCGACAAGCCTACGGGCGGCTAAGGCGGTGGTCATGGTGCTCAACAATCCTTCAGTATGCTTCTGCTTTTGTACTTCCAAGAGTATACTGACTTGCTTCAAGAGTTGGTTAGGTTGAAGCAGGGGTATCAGGTCCTCGTATCAGGTCCTCGTACGAACAAGCTACCGGTAGAACCAGTCGATCGAATCAGCAGACCTTGGATATCCACGGTGGTATCTTGATGGAGGCTGCTGCGCTAAAAGTCAATCGAATCGAATCCTTTTGGAAAGGCTTCATCCAGGGCTTCAAAGTGATGGCAGGTTGTCACGGAGCCATCATGGTGGATCCATGCAAACCAGTCCTTGCTGAATGCATTCTGAAACTGACGTCAGTCGCTGAGTCACTGTAGAAGTTTGAGTACAACAAACGGTAAACTGTTTATACGGTGGAACCGTGCACTTGAAGCTTCACTCAATTGAAGTTCCGTTGACAGCCCCAGAAGCATTGCTGGATCTTTTGGATCTTTTACTTCGATGATCGAGCATCAACTTCTTTTCACAAGAACTCAAGCCCTTCCACAGTTTAGTGCCGCCTCCATCTGCCTGCGATAATAACACTACCACTTCTATCTTCAAGACCAAGCACTCTAGTATTATTTACCATGGCACTGTCAGACTCTTGGATTGATTTTCTGGCTGGTTGGTGCAGCGGCGGAGCTGCCGTCATGGCTTGCCAACCCGTGGATACCGTCTTGACTCGACTTCAGGCAGGAGAAAAACGACTGGTGACGGCCCGTGGACTGGTACAAAACGTTGGCATGTCCAGTTTGTGGCGTGGCTCTTCGGCCATGATTGGTGCCGTGCCCATGCAAAATGCCTTGCTCATGGGTGGATATGGTATTGGAAAGCGATGGAACAAAGAGGAGGGTGCTCTCACGGCCATTTTTGTCGGTGGGTGTGTGGGTGGTATTGCACAATCCTTCCTCATGTCTCCTGTGGAATTAATCAAGGTCAATCAACAGGTAGCGATGGAACAATCTGCCTTGGCGACTGGGAAAAAAGTCGTTAGCGTCACCATGATCCAGCAGAAGGCGGCCTGGAGAGGATTGGGAGCGACGCTTTTGCGAGATGGTATCCCTCATGGAGTGTGGTTTGTATCGTATGAAGTCGCCAAGAATTTTTTGGAAGAAAATTCAGGCATCAAAAGCGATGACAAGGCTGCAACCACCAACTGGAGTATTCCCTTGGTATCGGGTGCATTTGCTGCCACTGTCGCGTGGGTAAGCAACTGATCGTCACAGTCGGCAACCTGCTCGTTTGTATTCTTGTCTGCGTAAATTTCTGATCCCTGATTTTTGATTTCCGTTGGTACCATAGGGAGTCGGATACCCATTTGATTTGATCAAGACGCGCATTCAAGCCAGTACTAGTACGGCAGAAGGCACCATTTGGGGCACTGCTCAGACCCTCATCAAAGAAGCCAATGGCAACGCCTTGCAAGGATTGTATCGAGGATTTGGATTGAAACTGGTGCGATCTGTACCAGCTTCTATGATTGGCTTCACAACCTATGAACTGGTCAAGGATTCCATTGAGCGGTGGGAATGAGTGGTTCCATTGACTGACTGCTGGATGGTTAGCTAGCTAGCTGAAACTTGCAGTCAGATATTGCTATTAGATATCCCATTGCAATAGATAGATATCATTCTTAAAAGCACGGTTACAAAGTCAAGTGTAGCAATCTAACATGTTATGTATGGTGCAGTGGGTGCGACAACACTAGAACTCGCAACTTGAAAGGAAAGACACCGGACTGGCTCAGGTACGGTACCCTTGATTCCAAGCTCGAGCCCCAATGCAGACGGGCCAGGCTCCAAAGTCATGCAATGTTGCCCAATTGGTCACCCCTACCGGTATCTATCTAGCTAGCATTGCTGAAACATTCTACAGTGCGTCGCCGAGCGGCCAACCAAACGCAGCTACACCCAGCAAAACAGCGTAGGTCGAATCTCTGCTTGTGATTTGATTCAAAATCGTCGACTACCGTACCCCTAGTGGAGGAGATCAACTACAGAAGCATCCGAGAAAATGCTTGATGCTACCGAACAAGCTGCTGTTTAGCGTTTTTTAAATGATTAGACTATTGTGCTTCCATAGACTTGTGATTCAATTCTACTTGTAACTAATTATTCCAGGATAGTACAAATGTTTCAAAAAATACCTCTGCCATTGATTGGATGGAGCCTTCAAAAGCCAATTGTCGCTGCATCACATCCTCTCCAAATATATGGACACCTCCAAAGGTATGCAAACACAAAACTGAAAAGAGAAACTCTTTAGAGGCCTTCACCTTCGTCATCCATTCCGACCAGGCTGATGCCGATGGCAATCATGACAACTCCACTCCATCCTCGCACCGTCAGCGTCTCTCCCAATGTCAGGAATCCCAGGACAGTACCGAACATGACACTGCCACCAATGATAATGGGAATGGATTGCATGGCCTGGACACCCATTCCACTGACACAAAATGAAATCATTTCGGCAGCACCAACAGCAAATCCTGCCAAAATGGCCCACTGTACACCTGTCCAATCCCACATCAAGAAATCCTCATCCTCGCCTTCCGCACCAGTCTCAGCAATTTGGGTATGATACAAGACCACACCTCCCAACAAAACGCAGCCCAGAAGAGCGGCCACAAATTGGAGAATGACACCTCCCAGGATAGGGTTGATGGATGCAGATCCCTTCTTTATAAAGATGTTGTACAAGGCATAGCAAAGAGCACATGCCAAGGCAGGTCCAATCCAAAGAGCCAGTGGCGGACTGGCCTTTTCAATCACACCTTCACCCAACAGGCGAGCATCTTCGATCCTGGCGACCAAGGGGGTCTTTTCTCCCGCAGCTAACGATGCGATGCTACTGCGAGAGCGCAAAGATCGTAGGGACCGGTTGCTGTTGATTCCTGGAGAATCAAAGTGAATACGACCACTGATGGAAGAGTGGCGGGGGGAATGGATTTGAGGTCCAGAACCTGCTCTGGATTGGAAAGAGCCCATGGTATATTTCTTTGCTTGTCTGTTTGGTTTGCTGATTTCGAGTTGAAATTTTTATGTTTGGATCTGCCGAAGCCTATGAAGGAGGTAAACTGGAAAGTGCCGATCCTGTTGGAGGTTGTTCCAACGGACACTGCGGATCTGATATCTACGTCACTTTGTACTGTGAAACGTTTCTTGCAGTGTTTTGAAGGCGGATCTATCGACTTGTTGGGTACTGATAGTCTAGCTTAGATTCTTGGATGTCTTCCTCTTGTCAACGCCTCTGTTGAAAGATAACTGGGAGACTTGCTTCACTCGATCACAGAATCAGACATCCTTTTGGCGTTCGGTACGCCAGGCTGTAAAAGGCCCAGCAGGGTAGGTGTCAAGTGTCAAGGCAAAAGAGGGAGAAGCTGAAGTTTGACACCCCCGCCCATTTTCTTTCGCTGTGACTTGCCGGTACTATTAATAGTATGACATACTTGTCAAGAATCTGATGATGATGGATGCAGCTGCAAAAGGATCCACCTGGGTCATCGTTCTGGGGATATTCTGGTCACGATGGTGCACTCCAACCTTATCCTTCGAATGATGATAGAATGATTCAATCGAATGAATCGATTCAATTCGATTCGATCATTTCTTTGAGAGAGGGTCGAGTTTTCCACTCAAGTTTCGTGCCTCATCACCACGATGTTTGGGTGGGCCCCGGAGAAGGGTATCCTTGGCATACTGTGCTGGTACGGCATGGCATATCAATTGCAATGGCCACAAAGGAAGATAGCTATCATAGCTAGATACCGGTGCAGGGTGCTCAAGTCGTATGTCCGCACAAGCTCGACTTGATGGAAAATCTTGAGTCATGACTTCCTTGAGTTTTGTAAGGTACAGTACCGTTACTGCTACGTATGACATACATGTTTTGGCATCGTACAGTCAAAACCGTCTACGGGTACCGGTAGCTCTGCATACCGGTGCGGTAGCTAGCTAGAGAAGCTAGACTATCTGGCTAGAGCTAGAGTACACTGTAGTTGCTTTGGAGAAACAGAACGAGCTTCAGCGATTCTAAAATGTGAGGAGAAAGCGCTTTGGCCGGTCGGACGTCATGCACATGATCACTTTTTCTCGTCTCTCGCTGAAATGCAAAGGATCGCATGTGGCGATCCCGTTGGAGGCAGTTCAGGTTTTGCAGGCCAATATACACGACCGTCTCTGCTTTATCCCTTTCTTATTTGTGTTCCGTTGCTGCAAAGCCGCAATACTGGACTGCCATCAAGAGTTCATGTAGGTTGGTCAAGGACATTGGGAGGTTGTTGGATTTCTCTTTGGAGGGTGTTGGTCGCCCTGGACTATTATTAGCAGCGGCAATTCGACTGACTGCATCAATCAATCAAATTGGCTTTGACACGGGGTATGCATGGAGAGGACAAATTATCAGAAAGGAAAGGTTACTCCGAAAGCGTCAGTCAATTTTTCCAGAGCCATGGAACTTCTCAACTCCATAAAGAAACAGCGAGAGCTCTTCTCTCAGACTTTGTCGACGACCAAGATGCCACGAGAGCTAGCGTTAGATTCCAGAGACGAAATTACCTCCCCTTTCAGCTCCGCGCCTTTGACAGATACCACGAGAAAGCCATTAAGCCCAAAGAAGACATCCAGCGGTGGCGGCGACGCTAGACTTCTTGTATCATCGCTTCGAAGCAAGCGCGAAGACTTGATTAAGAGATTCGAAAAGGCAAACTTGACTAACCACAAGGTCGCACCAACATCGTTAAATGAAGATGCCGAAAACTACTCGGCGGTGAAGAAGAGATCATCCTTGGATTCTGCAATAGCAGCAGCACCGTCGCTACCTTCCACAAAGCCTGCAGATAACACAAGGCGTCAGTCCTGGTGTACCCCCAAACAGTCTTTTACAAAAGAAAACAGCAAGTCCTTCGACAGGCAAAGCTCAATAACCGAACAAAGCCTGAAGCCTGTTTCGGAAGCATTGGCTACCTTCGAGAAGAAGAATGGTAAGTCAACCCCACGGCCGCCGCCTGGCAAGGATACATCCTGGATCCGGACACCAGAGAACAGAGATTCTTTGAATGCAAAATCTGAAGCTTCTCGACCGTGTCCTACTGTAGAGACCAGTCAAAGGTCTTCTCTTCGTAAACCCCAAGCCAGTGAAATTGTCGCAACGCCGGATAGGACATCGAAGAAACTGGTGGGAAGCAATGCTGCGTGGATGAAGCAACAGGGCTCTGACAAGAAGAGCAAGGGAAGCGACCAGAAGGAACAAACGACTGTTCCCGCCAGGAAGTCATTGGATGCAGCTTGGATCAGGAATGGTACAGGTAAAACACTTGTATTACCGAAACAAGGTGGAGCACGTAGCATGTCCTGGATCAAACAACAAAACGCAGCCACCACCCCTATCAAGAAGACACCAAACGCTGATCGCGTGAAGACGAAGGAGACTACAGAATCCGTTGACAGCGGCAACAGGACTGAGAGCAGCAACAGCGATGAATCATCTCCTCTTCATACACCTGCTGAGCGAGCATTTCCATCGACTGAGAAGATAGATTCCTATCAGAGAATGTCAACCACGGGCAGATGTGTTGTCTCCCCGCAGTCAAACACCGGGTTCGCAACATCCTTGTCACCGACAAAGGATGTAGGAGGGAAGCGAAAGCTTCAGCCTGAACTAGCATGGGCAGCAAAAAAGAAACCCGAGGGCTCCCCCAACCTAGTTCCTATCTATCGAGGTTCTTTCTCGGCAGTGCCGTCTCAGGCCTTCTACCACGAGAAAGGAAAGTCAGCAACCCTTGCTGCATCGTGGGTCAGGCCGGGCAATAGATCGAAGGCCACAAGCAAACCAGATAAAGAAACCAATTGCGGAGAGAACGAGGAATCGCCAGACAAGCCGTCTTGGAGTAGTAAGAACAATCTGACGTTGACAGACGACGTCGACAATAACAACCACAGTGATGAGATCGAGAGCGAATTGATCAGTTCACTCAAGCGAAAGTGCGTTGAGGATCCAACAAGGCTGAAGAAATGGGGCTTTGGACAACAGAGAAGTCAAATCAGAGATAGTGGAGGATTGCGACGGAAATCGACTGGTGATGTCTCATGGATTAGGGCCAACGTGAGTCCTACCGCCAGAAAAGCTCCATGGGTTCAGGCTTTGGAGCGAGTCGATAGAAGCTCTCCTGCTTCTCCTTCGTTCCAGATGAAGAGAACTTCCTTGGTCTCCTCTCCAACACTTCAAGCCAAGAAACGAGAGCACGACAGAAGCCACAGACGACGGAATTCCCAGCCTTCTACGGGGAGACTCTTTTTCAACGCTGTTGCAGGACCGCTTCCACCATCACCACCCTTTGTTGCGACCTCGACTAATACAGTGAATGAATCAATTAGTACGGACAAGAACGAAGACAAGGTTGCTCGAGACACCAGAGAAAGCCCCGAATCTAGATCGAGCGAATCCAGCGAGCGCGATGAACCCCAGTTGAAGCCATTCAACGACAAAGTATCTCTCTTTGAGCCAAGGAAGCAACTTTCCGATACATTCAACCCGAACGATGGCGTGAAAGCCGCGAAAATGTATTGGGAATCTCCAAAACGACTGGGTGGCAAGAAGCAACTGTCGGCGTTCACAAAGGTTGCGGCAGAGAAGCCGACAAAGGTTGTTGCAGAGAAAAAGACGAATATCTCTTCTTTGATAAACGCGATGGAAAAGTTCTCAATGGGTGAAGAGTTTGAGGTCGTTGGGGATATCGATGATGAAATCGAAGCAGAAGAAGCAGCAGAAGTACTTCCAGCGGATGAAGAAGTCGTTGTTGGTATGCACCCCGACGATGACACATGGGTCTCACGAAGTTCGGGAGAGAACTCAGATCCAGAATTCATCGAGTATGGCGACGCCAACTTCATGATAACTACTACCGATAGAAGTGAGGAAGGCCAAGAGCATTGTGAGCCTACCGATATCCGAATGAACGCGTGCGAAGAAACCTCCGAAGGCAGCACGTACAAGATTGATAACTACCACAAGGACTTCAACGAGTCCATACCGATACAGAGTCCATGGATTCATCCCAATGACACGTATGCTGCCGGCTACGGTATTGACCGATCTGCCATGACCATTGTTTCTGTTGTACAGAGTCCTTCGAAACAAGGCTGTGATAGTGCAGTCGACGAGGAGCAGGCGGCTTTGAAGCGTCAGGACCAGAGTTCCAGCTCCAGCGCAAAGTCAAAAAGAGGCAAGAGTAGAGATAAGAGTCTTACGACTCGTCGGACCCACCATCAGGTGGCATGTGGCTCTCTCTTGTCGGCAACAAAGAAACCCCCGGCTCGCAGCAAGAGTGCACACTGCCCTGGGCAAACGACCGCGGACCCTATCTTCCAAGTCAATGACGATGATGAGCAGAAGATCATGCAGAACATCATTAAGATTCTTTCAAAGAAGGGCGAGGACGAGTTCTGTATTACCAATGGATACGAGATGGAAAACAAGCCCAGTAAGAGCATGTTCAAGAAGCTCAAGAAGGGGCTGGGAAAGTCAAGGGCGAAGGACGACATTGATCTGGCGAGTGGATACTTCCCCACGGACGAGGAAACGCTAGAGCTGATCTGTACTGACAACAGAACAACGATGAGTTCGATTACTCGCTCTGTGAACAGCAACCCAGGCGATTCCTCGCAAAAGAGCGGCGACTCGAAACCAATGCCATTGAGCGTGTTGAATGGATTCTTCAAGGCTGCTCGAAAGTTGCAGAAGAGTGCCAAACGCAAGAAATCTCGACGACGAGGACGAAGCATGAACAGCAGCAAGCCACCGCTGGAGAGGCATTCGACAACGAAAGCCTACAACAAACAAACCCAGTCAATGGAAGCAACAGCAGAAGAAGAAGAATTCGACGCATCCGCAGATTCACTTGAAGAAGTTCAGCTGTGGCCCAGTGTTCCACAGCAGCAACCACAGCAACAGCCAATTGGGCCCTCGGTAATGATTCCTGGGGTCTCTGCGCTGACGGAAGATAGAAAATTTGGAGCATACGGTGGTCTTGCGAGTAGTCGCTCCAAGGCCTTGAACGAATCCATTACTCCAGCCATACAAAGTCTAGCATCGTGGTAGAGCGACTTGGTTCAAAAGTGTAGGATAGCAACTTGTAAAAACTCCTTTTTAATCCGTTACGCGACAACCTACTAGCTAGTGTTTTGAAAATCAGAGCCATTCAATTCAATTCACGTGCTGCAAAACTGTCACTGGTCATGGAAATGCTATGGGAGGGTTGTGAGCTCCTAAATCGCGAGAGGAGCGGTTCATCTTGCCGAGGAAGATCATCATCTATCTCTGATCCTGCAAATGGGCGTCTTCCCGATCATGCTCCATGCGGCAGAGGTGCGATGCGGCGCCTCGTAGTACGTACGGTACCAGTACAATCCCGGTACCGGTACCGTCGTCTGCTCCCGCACCATAGCATGCGACGAGAAAACGCCAACACTGCGTGCGAGAAGTGGACTCGATTTGGATCTTGCCATCTCATCGAGCACTTCGCTGCTGGTCGAACTCTGTCGGGCATACCGGTATCATTTGCATGTCCGGCCAGCATTGGCAGCCATAGCTACAAGGTGCATGCTTGGCAGGTGCTTGATTTGTTCCAGCAACGGCTTTTGCAATCAAACCTGATACCGTTACTTTAACCAGCCGCCATAATTGTCGTTCCTACCTATTATGACACACAACATGGCAGATTTGAAGTTCAAATAATGAGCAACGATCTTCATTGTTTTGTGCATTGTGGTTCGAGATCTGACGATTTTGTGGAGGATTGACTTTCCCAATGCCGTGAACAAAACATGCTAAACCATGCCTTTCAGACCGTTTCTGAGAATGCGAAAGAGATCGTGACACAGTCGCCAAAACACATGCGAAAAGCGCGCCACTGACTTTCGTAACACACGCAAAACAATCTTTCAAAACTGCTGCCGAGTGGCTGGGTTATTGCACTCGAAGAATACCCCATGGTACCAGAAGACCAGAAGTAAAATAGTTATCCTCGACCACCAACCAAGCAAGTACCTTATCTGAATGCAGCAAGATCAAGCTCGGAACGACCTCAGTCTGCAATAACTGCCTTCCTGTTCAGAGGCTTCTCCAGTCGTTTCAAATTGAACTGTCGGTATACCCCCACACCCCCACTCCAACCGACCAGAATTCAATGATAGCAGGTCGCCGCAAGAAGAACAAGCCTTTGTCCGCAGGTTGGAGCGATAGCGATTCCATCAATAATGTGGCTCCTGGTGCCTGCAATGGCAATCATAATAACAACAACTCAATGATGAGGACTTCTAACGGCGGCAAGAAGAAATTACATTCGGTCGTCAAGGGCGTGGCCAAGCTGAGTCTCTGTGCGGCGGTTGTGACCCCGCCAGAGGAGTGTTACTACTTTGAAGTGGGCAACGATGATGGCTCTCACACCACCGAGACGGCAACTTCCTCCAGTCTCTCCAATTCACAGCAACCATCTCCCACATCGATTTGTCAAGGACCTTCGGTGCGACGCTTGTCATCTTCCAGTGGCAGTAAACGAAGAAGCAGCCACAAGAAACAACAACAAAAGTGCATCGAAACTCTGGATCGATGGTCTCACGAACAGCAAGAGCAGCACCGAAAACTACTCGATCGAGAGGAACAAGAACGGGAGCAGCGCGAATTGAAGAGACTGTGGGAATTGCAACAGAAACAACAGCAACATCATACAGCCGCCAGGAGACCATCCTCCACTGACAGTAAGCGGGCATCCTTCAGTCAGCAGGGGGCTGTCGATCTAGATGAGGTGGATGACTGGAGCTTTACTTCCTCTGACATGGATGATAATAAGAATAATGATGATAATGGCGGTGGGGATCCTAACATGCTCATTCAAGTTCATGGCGACGATGAGGAGACTCACCGACGACAAAAACAGCAGCAACAATACGAGGAGCCGCCCTTGGTGGCACAGACATCCTATGCCAGACAACAGCTCCTGCAATCCTCCGCATTTCGACGTGCCAAGGAACAGAGGAAACAAGACAAACAACGAAAACGACAGCAACAGCAACAACAACAAGATTACTATTATGATGACGACGATTTTTTCATCTTGGATGAAGAAGAAATGTCACGAGGTCTAGGAGGATACGAAGAAGGATTTGATGTGCCCACCATGGAATCGCATGAATTCCATCATTTGCCAGTCAAGACACGGGAGGAAGAGGATGAGCTATCCGTCTCTTCGTCGGAGGAAGAAGAAGAACAGGATCATGCAAGACATGCCAGAAGGGGAACGACCATCAAAAAGAAGAGGAACGATGATGCTTCGAGCAGTCTGACGAGCAGTTGGCAGGGCAGTGCGTGCATCCATTGCAAGAATGGGACATGCGACAATCCTGATTGTTCCTGTTCCAGGTTCATGATCTAGCTAGCAATAGAGTTGCCAGCAACATCGCAGAGGCTGATCCGTTCGATTCAGCTTGCGACTGTGTGCTCGTAGCTACGATGGGGGTTAGAGTTAAGTACATTACATTAGACCTAGATTCCAGTTAAACTACAGATAAGGTAGTCTGGCTACATCCTTTTCGTTTGGTGTTTGATACTAGCTAGTACATTGCCATAGCAAGCCAGAAACATTGCACGCACCATCGAGGCAAAAATTCTTGTTTCTGAGGAAAAGAAATAACGATGAGCCAGTTGCCGACTCGACTCGACTCGACTCCCAGTGAAATTTTCGAAAAAGCCAATGCAGACGGAGTGGACAGCCACAAACAGCCTGAAGGATTCATGTACAACCTAGCTAGCAACCAAGTCAATAGATACAGAATCAGCTGCATGTTGGAGCCAACATCTACGTGCGTGTGTTAATCAAGTATCTGTTCTGGTTCAATGAGGCCCTCTTTAGGGATCGATGCCCCTCCTCCGATCCACTGGCCCGTCATTGAGCACTCGCGCATCGGGATCCTTTGTGTTCTTTCTTACAAATGGGGGCATTGGCTCTTCCCGTGCAGCAGCAGGTGTTGCTGGTAGTGGCCCCTTTGGTGCCGGAGCAGTTTCCTGAGGGGGGTTGTTCGGAGCGGTAGTCGCTGCCGAGGGGGCTTTTGCCAGTGCGCTGGGTTCTGTTACTGCGGGCGGTTTTGTCGTGACAGCAGGTGGCTTGGTATCCCCAATTGATTGTGGCTTGGCATCCTCGATCGATTGTGGCTCTATTGCGGACGTTGGGAACACGTTGTAGTCCTCCACGACCGGTGGCAGGCCACCGTTCTTGAACGAATCAAAATTCTCGCTGGCAAGCTTTGCGTATCCTCCAGAACAAGACAGATACAGTGCTTCCATATCTTCGACCGCAGCCACAATGTCATTCTCGGCTGGAACTCCCCCCGCGACAACGTTGTAGAGGACAATTGTTACGGTGACACGCTCGCTTTCGTGACGACCAAGCCCTTTCCCGTTGCGTAAACCATGCCAATCGTCGTATTTGGATCCAATGGATACACGGGCGGCATTGGCCTCGGCAATTGAATCCTCCTCATCGTATCTTCGGCTGGAAGAGTCCATGCCAGCAGCCGCCATCGCTGCGGGAGCACTTGATCGTAGCCCAGCAGGACCATCGCTCGAACGACGCCTCGAGCCGTCGGAAATCGCAGCGGGACGAGACACGGCGCCAGGAGTACCATCGCTCGAACGGCGCGAAATCGGAGCCGGAAGAGACGGCGCAGAACGAACTGATTCAGTGAGAGTGGAAAGCGTCGGAGCTGTGCTGGTTGTCGCCACCGCAGTGGGCAAGTCTTGCACGCCTTCTCCTTTCATTAGGATCATTGTCTCACTCCAAAATAATCCTTGTGGCGCGGCAGGAACTGCCAACACGGAAGTTTGACGATTCAATCCCATCATATCCATGGCAGCGTCTTGTGCTTCGTCCTCATCGGCTTCGTCCTCATCGGTTACGAGTGGGATCTGAATGGGGGCGTCTTGGCTGCTGGATCTAGTCGAAGATCCGACTCCCATACGAGTCGGCGCACTGGTGGCCCTTTCGCTGGGGTCTCGAGCGAGCGCACCACGAAGGAGGTGCAGTTCGGAGCCTCCTTTCACGCCGTGGGAGCTCAAAGTTGAGCCTTTCTCCAGGTGCTTTCCGGAAAACATGAGTCTTTGTTGCTTAGGCGGAATTTTTTCAATTTCGTGGATTCTGTCCATGATGCTGTCGATTGTATCAACGCTGGGATTTACCTTGTCTACTGTGATTTTCTTGCCAGTGAGAGTTTTGACAGTGATGGTTTGCGTGCCACTACTAGCAGAAGAGAGTATCAAAGTAGAAGTATTCTTGATGTTGCATGCCTTGATGGTTTGATCGTCCTTGAGTTCCAATCCCCGATAATCCAATTTCTGCCGGGACGGCTCATCGCACAGCTTGTTGTGAAGTTTCTTTTTGACACTGAGTATCGTGTCCGTCGGCTTGACATTCAGCTTAATGGTTCGACCCGTGCTGGTGGAAATTTGAATGGATATCATTTCCCACGAAAGGGGCACCTGAATGGTCATGAGTGCATTGAAGCGTGTTCCCATGGCCTGTGTCCCAATGACGGCGGCGGTGGCCTTGCCCCTCTGTGCGGCATCGGCGCGTTCTTGGTCCGTCTCCCATTGGGAGCCGCCGACTTTGTGATCGGATCGTTCCGCCTCGAACCAATGTCGTGCAATGGATTGTTGTTGATGAGGTGGTACGAAATGATGGAGTAGGAGCTGTGGCCCCTTTCCGTCGGCCTGAATGGCCATGCCCTGGGAAGTACAGAGCAATAGCAGATTTTTGGGCTTGGCATCATCCAGTGTGTTGTAGTTGTAGGACTCAATGCCAAACTCAATATTCTCGCGATTATTGTTGCGTCCTTGGTTATTGCTGTCCACTGGAATAAAGGTTGTTTGAAATCGGATGGATACTTCCTTGTCTAGTTCTGGATAATGCAGATTTGTGTCTGCATCCATTTTGCATGCTTTGCCATATCCCCCCATATTGTGCAAGACATCTCTCAATGTCACGGGTCGTAATTTTCCAGCGCCGGCAGTAGCATCTCGCACGACGACGGCCACTTCATCCGTGGTGACGAGTCCCAATTTTTCATTCCAATTATCGGGTCTTACCGTAAAGAGCTTTCGTCCATCCTTGGCCTTGAGGTAGGTATCCGTAATGTTTGTACCCCACGAGGACAAGGCTCCCGTTGCAGTGGTGTTACGCGAGGCATCGTCCCAGGATACCATGCGACAGGCATAGTCCGCGTAGGTTCCTCCCAGGGATTGCAGGGTAGCATTGACGTGATCCATAGTTTCTTGAATCGATGGTGGTTTTGTGGGTGATATCACCGATACTCGAACTGGCTTTGTGGGCTTGGGCGTGTTGCAGACCTCGCAGTGCGAGTGGACGGACTTGTTGAGAAAGGTACAAGCCGCACAATGCCAGGGTTGATTATCCGTCATCGCCGTTGTGGCTGTGGCTGTGGTCGCGACGGAGCCAGCAAAGTCCACCACAAAATCATCCGGGTCAAATTCGACGCCATCGTCGTCCACCAAGTCATCAACGTCAATTTCCTTATTGTCATTATTTTCCTCGCCCAAACACATGGCACTCAAGCATCGGCCATTCTCGACTTTTCCTTCAATCGTCAATGGTTTGGCCGATCGAAACATTCTCAATTTATGCGTCTGGGTACCACAGGAAGGACATCTCCCAAGCTTAAGTCTTGTCTGCTTCGCTTCAGCGGTAGTCGCGGCGGCTCCTTGACCGAGATCAGGCGTTGAACCAGCATTCAAAGCCATTATCTTCTTGGCCAAGACGCAGTTTATACAAGGGGCAACTCACTTGGAGGAGATCTGGAATAGATGAGGCGAATGGTATAAAGCACCCAATACGTAATGGTACCGCCTGTAAAACCAAGAAGCTGCATGCAGTAAGTTTTGTGCGATGGGAACATTGGCTCGGGCGCTCGGGCTCTCTCACCCATGCAAGACTCGACTCACGCCTCGACTGAAGGTGCGATGGCATGGCTATGGTGCGATGCCTAACGGACTACCGGTACATGTACAACATGTACTACCGGTACCGGTAGTAGCTGGCTAGTTGCAGGTAGCTTGATGTACCGTAAAAAGTACTGTACTCTAGAGTATCCCCAATCCCCAACCACCAGCAAAGATACTCTGTGTTCTCTGGGAGTGCCGACCTGCCTTTTAACATATAATAGCTAAACTTTGTAATAAAAAGGTATCCAATGGTCAAAACATGGGTGTCTCGCATGTAGAATTCGATAATATTGGTCCAAATGAAAATAGCCAACATTAGTATAATTTTCGCATACTGTCGGGAAGGTGGGATAAGTATTAGACTTCTTTTCTTGGCGGAAAAAGTATGAAAAGTATGTACTGGAGGTACTAGTACATGGGGACTCTCACTTGTTCCGTCCTACCGGTACCGCTAGTAGCGCCACGTGGAAGCAAGACAATGCCGTGAAAATGAGAGAAAAGTGTGATGCCCGGACAGATCACTCTCACTCAAGCAGATCCTTCCAAAGTCCACCTCTTCGCATGGTTCCCACAACTCCATCTCGCATCTCTCCCCTCCCAATGTTTCGGTGCCATTTTGCTGCAGTTTTTGTTGTGACAATGATAATGTGCTTTGGCATGGCCCGACCAAGAAGTCACAAAGTCCTGGTGGCTGCCTTTGCTTCTTCCAACGGGAGGTACCCGAGGTTTGAAAACAGCCATAATGAGGCACACTTGCTACAATCCACATCACCTATAAGACAAAGATGGAACCACAAGAAACTACAAAATCGACCATTTTCCATATTGTTGATGACAGCCGCAGATACCAATGACGAACCGGAAGAGTGCACCAAAACTGTCGACAGTGAATGGGATATCAAGGGATTGAAACAAGAAGTCAGCCGTCACATTTTGCGATCCCACAAGAAAATTGGAAAGGCATCCACCAAAATCCAAAAGGCACAGGAATTGGTAGAAAAGTTGACTGCCGATGAAAATGCCACCCTGGAACAACTGGAGGCATGTCCCAATTTGGATGCCCTGGAATTGGAATTGCAAGAACTGCAGGCCCGATTACGTGGACTCAATCAACTGGATGAGGAATTGGCTGCTGTGGGGGGACCCAAAAAGCAGATATTGCCACAAGAAATAGCTCAATCAGCACTGGATTTGGGAGTCAATGATCAACCTCCAGCTCGACAACCCCGGGGACCCAGAAAGGTCAAAGGGCCACGCACCAAAAATCCACCCAAGACGAGATTGCCCTATCGAAGATTTTACACTCAAGACAAGACTGAGATTAGGGTACGTTTGGGTTACATTGGAGCGCTGTGAAGTATGGCAGCAAATACCTCATGAGACTTCTTCTTGTTTCTGTCAATGACTTTGCTGTTTCTCCTCCTTCATTTCCTCATCGACAGGTGGGAAAACAAGCAGAAGACAACGATGAACTCTCACTTCGCCCAGAGCATCGTGATGGATCTGATTGGTGGATGCATGCCTCGGGTTGTCCCGGCAGTCATGTAGTGATTCGAAGCAGTGATCAGAACATGGACGAAGAAGTGGTGCAAGATGCCGCTGCCCTTGCAGCACGACAATCCAAATGCTCCGGCAACACCATCAAGGTTTCCATGACACGATGTCGGGATGTCAAAAAGCCGATGGGGGCCAAAGCAGGGTTAGTTCAGTTGACAGGACAAGTACGGACCATCACAGTCAACATGAAAGAGGCACAAAAGAGATTGGAGCGACTGGATAGTACTGTGGTGATCAATTAAATTGTCGATCCTAGCTAGAGTCTAATTGCTATGAGTTCAGTCACCTTTGCTAAAATAGAATGAGATTAGATGGACTGCCTATCTTGCCCTTTGCTGGGTTTAGTCAGGATAGCAATTTTAGAATAGCCTCAGCAAATGGGCTCGCTTCATGAATATGCCTCTGTAGTCAGCTCGTCAGCTCCTGCTGCTTCAATGCACTTTCAGTGTTATGCCTGCTCTGAACTGTTTGTTGACTTAGTCGAGGCAGCATTGGCTTGTTATTGTTGTTGTTGTTGTTGTGCCATTTCCCGCTTCTTTTGTTTTTCTCCTGGTGCACCAACCACTCCCAAACTATACAGGAGGTAGGTGATAGCGGCAGGGCCCACCACCACAAACGCCAAAAAAGTCTGTCTGTCACTGAGACCACCTCTTGTAAAATCAAAAGCATCCCAGATGGAACTGCCCTTATTCTTTGTCTCATTCGTTCGTGTTTCCTGCCATTGTTGTTCCTCTCGTGCCTGACGCCTTTTGTCCTTGTTGGCTCTCCGTCGCGCCTTTCGTGATGGATCCAGTTTTTTCCTGCCGTGGTTTGAATAGTGGCGTGTCACGTGTGTTGCTGGCGTTGAAAGGCTAGTTCTAGTAGTACCGGTAGGCCTGGTTGTGGATGGCAACACTCTCAATGCGAACTGGGAGATCCCTTGTGATAGAGTTTGTCTGAGGAATGGAAAGGGTCGTAGTCTTGAAGACTGAAGATGGGCACTCACAGCATCTTGTCGCTCGAGCAAACAAAGATGACATTGCGAGGTGGAGGATTAAAAGAGCAGTTTCAGCTGTAGTAGAATGCCTCAGTTGAAGAGGGTGTTCAGAGCTGTGTTCATCCAAAGGTTGGGGCTGAATCGAATCATCGAGGATGAACGATGGAGGAAAACAATCGAGAGGCCAAGGATCCACTATGTGGGCTCTTGGGTGGTGCTGGCACTGGTGTAGGGTGTCATCTCAAAGATCCAAAAGCTATTTTCGTCAGCGTCCTCTCCTTCCGTGAAATCTTCCGCAACATGTACATGTAGTCTACCTGGTACCAGTACCAGTACATTTATTTTTGTACCTACTGATTGAGCTCCTGGAAACAATCATCAAAGCATGCTCTGTGGCACGGTTCGATCGCTTCTGTCTTTTTTCTCGTCCTGGAAGGAGCGCCACCTGCCGAAACAACACAAATCATTCTCATGTTGCATCTCTTCAGCATTGGATCTTCCGTCCCACTCTTTTCCATTTCCTTCTGATGTTTTGCCATTGGGTCCGACACGAACACACGACATCGGACTGGCAAAACAAATTGGAAAACAAATTTGCCCCCACGGGATCACACTTCGTGAATCTACTGTCTCAAGAAGCCTACGAAGAAGCAGTATTGGAATACCCTCGATGGGCGTCTTGGACTTGTTCTTTTCTCCAGGATTATTCACACAAAGTCGATATATCATTGAATACGACGCCCAAGTAGCCGAGTACATTTTCTGGTCGTGGTCACCTCGCTGTTTTATATCGTTGAACTCAAGTATACTATCGAAGACAGTCGTAGAGTCGCTTCCAGTTTGAGGAGACGGTGCAATCAGGCCAAGTTGACTTACTTGGTTACTTGCAAGTTGGCAGGATGAAACTTTGTGCGTGTACCGTATAGATTCTTTAGAAAGTTAGAATAGATTTACATTTCCCTTCGGCGATACCGTGCTGCAGCACCGCGGCTTCCCTCCCATCAGCGTAATTTTCCATGCCGGGAGGCACTGAGTCGAGTCTGATCCCTCTTCAATGCCTACAGCACCACGAATAATATGCCAGGCTGGTACAGAGAAGAATGCAGCGTGCTCATGAGAGCGTTATGTGTGTTTTCATGCGATGATTGGCTGTCATTGTGGCTCTGCCTAGCGTTTGCAAGAACGCAGCAGGCACCTCCTTGGACCCAATTGCTCTGCCTTTTAGAGGACTGCATTCACGGTGGCAGCACTGATGAAGGAGAGGGTGTTGATCTCATTCCGTGCCAATTAATGGGCGGCCCTTCCGCTCTATTCCGCAAGCCCTGCTAATCTTTCTAATACCATTTGACATCTACAGCTGTTTGGTATTGCCTGCCTAGTCTTGCTTTACTTTCTACGACGAGGTAAGTCCTACGACTCCAGCACCAATTCTTGGGCCTGGATTTCCAGTTGTCAGAGAGTTTTCATGTCCTCCTCTGCCACAATCATCTTCACCTGCATAAACCACCAAAGATCGTCCAATAACGGAATGTGGTCCCAGTAATTTCACCATAGGATCCGAGATGTTCACTTCACAAACATCACTGACTGCAGCTGCTGCTTCGTCTCCTTCCTCGGCGGCAGCACCTGCACCAACAACGAGATTGCCCAAATCACCCACCATGCGCTGATCAATGTCGTCGGGGTGTCCATGAGTTTTGCCAAATGGATTAAAGATGGGTCCACAGGAAGAAGCACCTTCCGACAGGTCTCCATAGGTACAGACATGAATTCCATGCTTGCCGGGTGTGAGCCCCTTGAGTTTGCCTTGGATGACAGTAGGAGCATCCTCAGTTGCCTGTGACAGAGTCAACATACCCATGATGGTTGCACTTGTGGCCACACTGCTCGAGGTGGATTCATTGTAGACAATACAAACGCACTTGGCCATGATGTCTTATTCAGTATGATGATAATGCTTGTCAAGTATGGGTCCTGCGACACAAAAGAGAGAGGAGCTAGCGAGCTGGCTAGTACTGGTAGGGTTGTTGTGAGGGAAGAGCTGTTACTGTTTCGCTGAGACCCGCCGCCATTGTGGTCCGATACTTTTCCGAACAAACGGGTGGTTGAGAAGAGAGCTGATAACCTCAAGCAAAAATGATCACGGAACATTAGGGATAGCAAAAGATCCAGGGTTTTGATCAGCGCCCTCCCGGGATGGTTCGTGGTTCGTGAACGGGAAACACGGTCGTTGCATTTATTTCGCAGCATTTTTGTCGTCATCCAATCTCGTCTCAATCGACAGAATGGAGAGTGTTGGGTCCAGTCTCTCTAAAGAACCAGGTGACCACCTGAAAGACACTGTGGTCTCTTCTCTACCTACAAAGAAGCGGCAACGACGAGTATGTGTTCTATTCGTACCATCGTTGGTGGATCAGACCGCCGAAGCTCCCGAATATGATCGGACTGCAGAACCAACCGACATTTTCGACTGTGATGGCTGTGGCATACGAATCCCCTCGGGTATCAAGGGATACGAGCCCTATGCGACATGCACCACATGTGAGGATGGGTTCGATCTCTGTGGAAGTTGCTGTGGGACTGACAGAATCATGAAGATCTGCGCCCAAACGGAGTATTTGCCCGACAACAAACCAAAGACAATCAGCGTCGACAGCCACAAACACATGCTACAAGTGGTGGACCGAGGAGCCGAAATTGCATGGGCCAATGAGGGGAGTGTACGAAATCTAACCAAGGAACTCAAACCAAGTCGATCACCGCGGAAGACCCCCAAGTCAAAGGGGCAGGGTAGCGGCAAGAGGGCGGAGAAGTGAAGTAAATGGAATAGTCCAAGGGACAAGGGGATGTCCGAGCTTGTGGGTGGTTCGGGATGAAGTCTTCAAGTCATCTCTTGCTACGTACGTGCGTTTGTTTTATCTGTGAGTACGCACTGCGACGTCTCAAGCGTCTCCCCACATCCAAGTCTGGCAGCAAAACTTCAAAGGCTTAACACATCACAGAAGCGTGTGGCCTACTAGATTATTGCACTGATTGAATACATACAGCTAGTACGTTTGAGCAGAAATTTATGGTTGGCTGCATTGGAAAAAGCATGAGTTGTCACTAGTCATGTAGAATCTCAGATTCTGCCCGCTCAGCTTTGCCATCATCTAGAGCTTGATATACACCTGGAATTGCTTGACTTCCATATCCAAGGTAGACCCCTGGAGCCTGCAACACATGACGATAGTAAGGTCGAACGGAAAGGCCCTGACGCAGGAATTGTCCTCCAACAAATTAGAGGTGCCAATGGATGTCCTCAATCAGAGTCAAGTCTGTGAGTTGGTGGATGCATCCAGCTTTCTCGAAAGAAGCGCAGCAGACTCTGAGCTAGCTAACATGTAACATGTACTGGTACTTAGCAGTAGTGCATGTCTGTAGAAGAGAAAATTGTTTGGAATGGTGTCCACCTACCGGTACCGGTACGGTGTTCCTGGTACCGTACCAGTACCGGCGCCTCGAGGTAAAGGTCTCCAATTGGTTCTTTATTTGTGTAAAAACTGGATTTTTGGAGTTATAATCGTCTGACAACTGTCTTAATTAAGACGATTATGTCAGACAGTTTCTGTCAGACGATTATTGGCGAAGACCCCACTTTCTCAGACGATTATTGGCGATGACTCGGAACATCTAGTACCCAGTTGAACGCAGTACCGAATAATGCCAAGAGTAACCAGCGATCGTCTGGAAGATTTAGCGATCATCTGAAATAAGATTTAGTTATTGTCTGACAATCGTCTGACACTTATCTCACCATTGTCTTATGGAAGGATGGTTTCTCTTCAGACAATTATCAGACTATTCTCTTGGAAAGTCATTTATGCCTAATCAAATCGTCAATTTTACTCCGTTTCAATCAAATGGGCTTTTTACAGTCAACTCGCTCTAATATTACTTGGGGGGGATTTCGGACTTCGGGTAATATAATAGAGAGAAGTAATATTAGGCTTTTCAAGGGCCGGTTCCACTAGTAAAGTACGAATGGATAGAGCCGTCACGTTTACGCATGTTGGTTGAATCGGCGCCGTTCATGCTGGTTGAATCGGCACCGTTCATGTTGGTCTAAGTCGGATTGGAGGGATTGGTATGGTTTGCTTGCACTTGTTTTGTTGCTGAGAGAATTGTTTTTGTCTCCTCTCTGCCATTCTGCGCAAATCTCGCAAAAACACCATGAAAAACCCCACGTACGAAGATGTGCGCGGACTGGCAGAGAATCGGACAGGCAAGGAGAGGTGCGGGGCTCCGGTTGGCCTCTTATTGGCACCTCATCGGCATGCATTGGCATTTACATGTATGTCTCTGTCGAGTTGGATGGTTTGCGATGGATTGCGAGCGATTGTTTTGCTGCTACGAGATTTGCGAGGGTACTGACGTCATTCGTCATTCACGGATATGCGGGACTGGGGGGGGGATCCGAAGAATCAGGTAATATAACAGCGAGAAGTAATTTTATTAAATAAGTAATATTAGCGCGAGTAGACTGTACCTCGAGGTGCGGTACTGCACGGTGTTCCTCGGCATGTACTCGATTTTATTCGGGTAGATTCGACTAGCTATTCGATTCATTCATTCATTCATTCATCCGATCGACAAACGTGCAGGATTGGATCCCGCCGCCATGTCCAACCATTCCTCTCCATTCTTCCAACCCGTACACCTCTTCATTTCCACCACTCGCAGATCCGACTAGTCTAATACCAAACACAACAACAGATCACAATGACCGAAGGTACCGCAGGAGCAACAGGAGGAGCTCTTCCCGTAGTTCGCGGTGTCGAGTATCGATGTGGGGACTGCGGAGCACGAAATGTCGTCAAGGGAGGCGATCCAGTTCGATGTCGCCAGTGCGGGTTCCGTATTCTCTACAAGACCAGGACCAAGCGATGTACGTCGTGATCTTGTGCTGGGCATTTTATTAGGGAATGGCCTTTATTTTCGTTGGCCGGCTTGTCGGTTGCTTTTGCGTTTTCTCACTCTGATTGCTTTTCTTCATTCTTTGTACCATTGCCTGCTGAACGCAGTGATCCAATTCGAAGCGCGTTAAACTAACTAAACATGAAAGGGAATAATCAACAACAACAATCTACTAATAGAAGCGATAAACGGTTGTTGGTGTTCTCGGGTCCTGTGGTTTGGATGAGTCAATCTGCTTGATCATTGATTTGTGCGTTGGTTATTCAATCCGATAGCAGAAATCACGACAAAATACTGGAAACACAAAAAACACAGACGTCAAAATAAAAATACTGCTTTGTGTCGGAGAGTGCTGCCCATCATTAAAAATTCATAGTAATTATCAAGCGTAGAAAGCCGTTTGTGAGCTGGATGAAAGCACCGTAAGTGATTGACTTTCTAATAATGGGGATCTTGTGATGGTGCCTTGTGTATTCCTTAGTGAGACGACAGGATTAATCGCATGTTTTGCTTGGCCTGGGCGCAACAGTAGGCTTTCTTTGGAAATATTCCTTTATTCCTTGATGTTGTTAGCTGCTGCGTGTGAAGGGGGCTATCCGTACCTTGAGTATTCCAAAACAGCGCAACTCCACATGACCGGACGACAGGAATAAGCTTTCTACTGTACGGAGTTATTTCGATTCCTTGATGGTAGCCGCTGGAGCGATTTCACAGCCATCGGCGACATTAGTTTGCGTGAAGGGGGACCACTCCCTGGGCCCGAAGACACTTTCCCAACGCTTTGTCTTTCCGAAAACATCTGCAAAACACATCTACCGGTGTCGATGAACGAGGACGGTTTTTCGTTCTCCCTACCACATGCATAAACCAAATACTACGGTATGCATATAGAGGCATAATGCCAAAAACACCCGCCGAAAGAGGTAGCCTAGTAGCCAGCTACCTGGTACCGGTACTCAAAACCTGAACCAGGCGAGAACCAATTCGGCTGCATGGTTGTGAGTCAGACAAACCATCTACTAGCTACTAGCTAGTACAGTCGTACTCAAGCAAAAGTCACAGTTGTGTTAATGATTTCTATGTAAATCACTGTATTCTACGATGTAAACAAGTGTCCTTTCCTTTTCGTTCCAACATTCCCATTCATCTTCTAATGCAACATACAGAAAGAAGAGAAGAAACTACTCGTCTGGTGTAACTTTTTGATTGTATCACTCTACTGAAAAATGCTTCAAACTTCCATTTTAAAAATGCTCGTCTCTAATAAAGGACCCAACAAAAACCTTGAACGGCAGAAAAGAAAAGGAAGCTTTTGAGACGAAATTTCTATCGCTCCCACAAACAAACTCTAGCTTCACTCCAAACCAACACATGAGATTCTGGCTCGATTCGATTCGATTTATCTCACCTTGTTGTGTGTGCTGTTGTATGTGCTGGGATCGTATTGTATACACAACCTGCTGTGAGTACAAGTACATGTGTTCACGGGTATACGGTACCCACAAGATGATTACAGCTTTCTACTATCCCACATAATGTCGAAATCCTCCATTCCGCACCTCATCAGTCGTCCAAATCATGGCCTTTGCAGCCTTTACCACAATGCTCAAAGTTGATTTTCCGGACAACGAATACGATTGCCGCAAACGACAACACGAACACCATGATGGATCAGCTATGGATCAATTGATAATTTGATTTCTTGCTTGGCCCGACAGATAATGAAACTGATCGCTGACTATAGATAGCCTTCGTCTTTGCCTTTGTGGGTTGCCAATGCCGATGCTGTTCAAAACGTTGCGTGACTCTGTCCTGTGAACTAACGATCCAATACTTCGATGCTTCAATCATTCAACAACAATATGGATGAGGTGCATCAGCAGAATTTGCAGTTCTGTTCGCTCGATTGGACTGTCTGCTTTTCAGACAAGCCACCTGGTATGACCATAGCCGAATTGTCTAACAAACTATCAGTTACTCCTCCGGGCCATTTTTGGTGCAACAAGGAAACTGGTCCCTTATGTAGAATCGAGCCGGCCGTATCTATAATGAATATCAAATAAAAAAGCCACTTTAATCGAGTTTGCTCACTGGACATAGTTCCTTTTAGCTGTTTTCAGTAAAACCAAATTGTCTAAGTCTTACTGATTTCAGCGATACCCCATACTTATAAGCTGTTTCGGCTGTGGCGACCTGACCGGTACTCACAATATGGCTGTTTATAAGCAAGTCTGTTAGCTTAAGCCATATTCAGAAACATATTAAGTGTTATATATGACTGCATAGAGGAAAGAATTAGCTTTCAAACAAGCCATCACTCGGCCTCTAACTATATCATGTTGAAGTTTCCGATCTGTTCTCCGGACGGTTGCACGAAAAACGGCCCGGAGGAGTATGGGATTAGCTGACGTGCCAAAAAGTCATTTGCAGTTGTCACATACAGGGACAGAAATGTCTCTCCCGCGTTGTCCAACAGCTACTTGCTTATTATTACTTGACCACCGGTACTAGCACATGTACACCGGTATCCCGGATCCCGCTATCCAATGCATGTATCCCGCCCAACCATGGGACAAGGGCGCCGAGATATGGGGAGGAGAGAGGCCAGGAAAGGAGCATAAACATTTGTGGCTGAAGTCCAGGATTTGGGATGAACGTATTGCAGCACCTCGTTGGCTTCTGAGCTTCAAGCTCTACTCCCGCTAGCTACCGGTATTAGATTACTAACTGCACATCGAGGATTCGAGTACAGGTCGTAGCAAGCCTAGCACTACATGACGCGTACAATATAAACTGGTAGCGATCCTTTAAACTGAGGGGCGGCAGAGACAAGTCAGCGCCTACGGTATCCCTAGCTTGAAGTGGATCTCGAAGAGCTGCTTGGCTGAGCTTTACATGTTTGCAGCTCAACGTGTTATCCCAGGCCAACAGATCTATGCAATAGCTGCTCTGCTGGGTATATACCCTACCCGTACCGGTGGTACGGTACGCACGCAAAAGGAATCCAATAGTACCTGGAACAGTACCGGTACCACAACTAGTAAAACATGATGGTGTAATAACAGCCTGCGCTGCTTTCCAAAAGGACAGACGAGTTTCGTTGGTGCAGCTCGACGTCCGCCGCTGCACAAAACCACAGCCAGCCATTGATCTGGTGCGCCCACAATCTCGGATGAGCTGGTCTTATTGGTTTCGAAAGTAACACCTCCAGAGACCCTCCAAACCTCCTTAACCTCCTCCTCCAACCTCCTTTCTCCTCCATTCAACTTCCTACTATTATAGTTTGCTATCATTGCTTCACACTTCCTTTCATCCAGAGATAGCGTTGTCTTATTACCGCTTCGTAGGTCAGGTCGTTTATTAAAAGTACGGTATTGGGTATTATTATCAACATCAACATGTCTAGGTGGACCGTCGAAAGAAGCAACAAGCGTACCAGAACAACGACAACGACGCGGACGGGCGGCGGTGCGGACGAGAAACACGGCGGCAGAGGAAGAGGCAAGAGCAATGATTTTGCGTGGACGTCAGGTTCGGGGTATTCGTCTCCGGTGACAACGTGGACGGCGGGATCTCCCATGGATAACAACCAATTCAGCAATCCCGCTCAGTTCGAAGACTTGGACTTTCCACGAGAGCCTCAGTCAGGTCTTTGTTTGGACTCAAGGAAGATGTAGTTGTGCCAGGCTCTGTGAATCATTCTCTGTTGCAAGGAGAGATCCTAGAGACTCTCAAACGTATGCCATCGGACATTGTCAATCTCATGTTGAAACAGTACGATACGTGTGCTCGTGAGGGGGGTATTCGAAACAAAAACGCGTACCTGTTGGGTATTATCAATTCAGGTCCTAGAATGGGGCTTTCTCAGGGGGTTGTTGTCCCTCCCAGTGTCAAGTTCTCCCTCATGCAGGGAGTTGTCTTGGATGATCTTAATGCCCTGTCCGTGACTGAGATTAACATCATTCTGGGGGAATTCGACAAAGAGATGCGTGCACGTGGTTCCACCATCTACGACAAGTATTCTTTTCTGGCGGACATTATCCGAAAACACAAACCCGCAACTCCCAAGCGCAACCAAAATAATCAGCATCAGTACGTCGTGGGCAATGCCACTCCTAAATCCAACGACGCCTCCAGAAAACTTGATGCACAGCTTATCAGCGCCATGAAGGAGCAAAATGCCGAAACCACCAATGTTGAGATTGTTGCAAAGGTGCAGCCCAAAACTAGCGATGAAATGGAAGACACCCTGGCATTGTTGGCCAACAGTATGGAGAGGGTCCAGATGTTGACTGAGAGCCTTGCCAAAGTCAGAGGCGAACTTGTCGCCGAGAAGGAGAAACGAAGCAGTCAAGAAGCCATTGCCAGATCCGAACAGATTCTCCGCGAAGCGACGGAAGAACGTTTGCAAACAGCACTCCAAGAACTCGACGCCGAGCGCGACGCACGGGAAAAGCAAAAGGAGGAGTACCAGATGACGCTCAAGTATGAAAACGATCGTCGTGAAGCTACGGAAAAGGAGATTCATGATCTCCGCGAAAAGGTTGAGATGGAACGGGCAGAAAAGCATCGGGCGGAGGATCGGTTGTCTGTGTTGGAGGAAGTGCTCATTTCGGAGAGAGATGTGCGTGATACTGAACGAGGAACATCGAATGGGCTCCCGGGATTCGATAGCCATGATTTTGACAGCGACGACGAACATCATCATTAGATTTGGAGAACGGAGAACCAGTATATTGAATGAATGGGTATATATATTATCTGCATGCAGCGAAGACAAGAAACAAGTTTAACCCTCCCTTCCCCTCTATCCATCAAGAAAAAACTTCGCTGACAAGCAGGATTCACGCTAAACATACCGATACCGTGCATTGCCACTACCAAACAACTCTGCATATTATTTCAAAAGGTGTCAGTCATTAAAAGATGAGATGGACCAGACTCAATTTGTCTCTTCATGGTGAAGGGATGATTATACATGAGAGCGGGCTTCCCTTACGTCTCTCTGTGTCTCTCCCTCTTTAGAAAACGATTGGACAGCAGGATTCAATCTTTGCATGTAAATACACATTTCACTTAGCTTTGAATTCCTACCTACCCCATGTGCTATCTTCCTCGGTCGTTGCATATCAGTCAACGAGACCACCAAGCCTCGCCCCGTTCTGTCTTTTGTTCAGCCACTGGTACTGGAAATCCAGCCTAGTCCTCGTTCGAAGAAGGGAAAGCTCAGTCCGAATAGGAACTGGCTAGCTAGTAGTAGAGTTGCGATAATTTGACCTTGTCCTTTCTACCCCTTCTGCTTTACAGTCCTGCGACATGGCTACTGTATGTACAAGCGCTTCTATTTGGTGTGTGGTTGTACCCTATGGTTCCGTATTGTGACGATACAAGGATTCTATCGGCTAATGTGTGCCTGGTACGATACTGGTGGTACCCTGTACTCACCAGACTCGTCACTCGTCTCAGGTTAAAGTTTAAAAAATCCAGAGCACATGAGCGTCAGACAAAGCAAACAAGAGAAGGGTCTCAAAAAGATCTTTCATCAGTCATCTCAGCACCCAGCAAACTTTCCGCTCCACCTCACAAATCCAAGCATCCATTGATGTGCTTCGGTATCTTCCAATCTAAAGCTAGGCAAACACATATTTTAATTACTCGTTGTTGTTGTTATCACCATGGCAGAAACGCCCACCAAAGATCCCAAAGAAGAAGGGGATGACAATGAGGCAACAACGTCATCGCCTGCCAAGAAAGGCAAAGAGTACCAGTTCCGCGAAGGCCTCGTCGTGCCGGATTCAGTGGATCCTACGCTCGTGACGGGCGACATGGTCGACATGTTGAACCAGTTATCGGATGAAAAAGTCAATGCCGCGTTGGAGACCTACGATACCCAGATCAAATTGAGGGGTTCCGAGATTCGCAGTCCTCGAAATTATCTTCGTGGTATCTTGAAGGGACTGACGGGAGGACACCCTGGCAAGTATGGGCTTCCCAATGGCGTCGTTATCCCCGCATCCATCACCAAGGAACTTTTGGAAGAGGGCGAACTTTTGGATATTCTCAAGACAATGTCAGTTCGAGATATCAACTCGTGTTTCCGTGACTTTGAGGAACAAACCAAACGCAAGAACAAGAAGAGCGAAGAAATCCGCAATAAGCATGGCTATCTGTTGGGCATTATCAAATCAGGCTCTCCCTTTAATCTTCCTCAAGGTGTCAATGTTCCCTCGTCGATCAGTTTGACCATGTTGAAGGGAGAAATCCTGGAGACCCTTCAAGGACTCCCCGCCGTCAACATCAACGTTGCCTTTGCCGAGTACGATGACATGGTGCAGCGCAAGGCCGATTCGATTCGCAGTAGATTCGGGTATCTGCTCGGTATAGTCAAGCGCGTCAAGAAAAACTTTGACGAAGAGGCTGCAGAGCATGTGGCATCACAGCAACAAAAGGCAGCGTCGCCTTCGAAAAATGGCAAAGGGCAATCTCCCGCCAAAGGCAACAACGGGGCTGGAACCGAGGGGGCAGCAGAAGGTACTGGCAAAGGAGATCCCAGCGAAACCTTGAACTTGGTCACGGAAAGTTTTGCCAAGGTCACCAACGAGCTTGTTACGGAACGTCAAGCCAGAACTTCGTTGGAGAACAAAGTGAAACAAAGCGAAAACCAAAGGGAAGAAACGAACCAAAAAATCTTGCGACTGATGCAAGAATTGGCCGTGGAAAAGGAAACCCGTGAACGATCGGCTATGGAAGTACAGCGATTGCGCAAGGATCTCGCTTTCGAACGTACGTTGCGGGAGGCTGCGGAAGAAAAGGTGCAACTGTTGGAACAAGGCAGGGCCCAATTGCAATCGAGTCCAGGTAAGGGAACAGAACAGGTGCAAAAGCTGCAACTGGATCTATCCATAGAACGAGGGTTGCGCGAAAAGACAGAGAAACTTCTACGTACCGCCGAAGGCAGGATAGAAGAGTTGAATCAAGAAGTGATCACGTTGCAAAACAAAAAGTCCCCTTTTGCAAATTTGTTGAATACGACGGATGCCTCAAATGAACTCCCTCCATCACTTGCTGGGCTTTCGGAGCTGGTGTCGATGGCAGATTTTGATCCTGAGACCATGACGTTTAAGGTCAAGGAGACGGGAACAACCAGCTAGATTTATGTTTGGAAATAGATGGTTCTTATCGCTTATTTTGTTGCCTGAAGCTTTCGTAGAACGAAGTCATTTCATTTGTTATTTGAGGCTTCATGCTATTGATGGCCTTCAAGAGGTGTCGCATTCTCAAGGAGGGCAGCTCATTGCAGACTGGGTTCTGGTCATCTTCTTCTAGGGCAAGCCACGCACCATCTTTGCACACGGCGATCAATTCCGCTCCTGAATACCCGCCACTTACCTCGTCTCTGGCAAGATATGAAATCTAATGTGTCGTCGTTTTCAAAAGAGTCCAGTCAAGTCGGTGTTAGTAAACTGTAGCATTCTCGCTGGTGTCAATCAAGCAATTCCGTAGGAAACTCACATCGATGTCATCCGCACAGTTTCTGTCTTGTAGCCCGATTTCGAAGATCTTTCGCCTGCTTTGTTCGTCGGGAGGACCTACATAGATTTTGCGATCTATCCTTCCCGGTCGCATTAGTGCGCGATCAATGAGGTCGGGCCTATTGGTTGCGGCCACCACAACCACTCTAGCATGCTTCTTGTTCCCAACCGTTATGCCGCCAGTGGTATGAATGCCATCAAGCTCGGTGAGAAGTTGTGAAAGTAGTCTTCCTCCACCGGAGTTGATGTCGCTTCCTCTTTCTGCAGCAATGGCTTGTAGTAGAGAAGATGTGCAACGATAAACCGTAAGGAAATGTGTCACGCTCATGAGACGGAGAGGAAACACGTACCCTTCGACGAAACTTCCTTACCATCAATTTCATCGAAGAACACGATCGACGGAGCAGCACTCCTGGCACGCCGAAACAGGGATGCCAAAGCCCGTTCACTCTCACCCAACCACTTGCTCAGCAGTTCGGGGCCTTTTACGGCTAAGAAGTTCATCTTTCCTTCAGTGGCCAGCGCTCGAGCCATCAGTGTTTTAGAACAACCTGTGCAAAGCAATAGTTCATGAGTGCCTACCATCGCAAGGACAGGATCAGGCAAGTGACGAAGGCTTACCTGGAGGACCAAAGAGCAGGATACCACGAGGAGCTGGAATCCGAAGTCTGTCGAAGAATTCTTGGTGGGTTTCTGGCATTTCAAGTGCTTCGCGGAGTTGCTCTTTGACACAATCCATTCCTCCAATTGATGTCCAGGGAACTTTCGGAATCTCCAGCGTGATGGACTTGATAGCCGTCGGTTTGGTTGCCCGTACAGCCGCTTTCAAGTCGGTGAGTCGCAGGGTTTCAATGCAAGCAGGTTTGCCTCCCGCTTGCAGCTGCTCGTCGAGATCCTGAGAAGTCTGCCCGCGGATCATTGCGATGCGAATGCCCTCTTTCACAGCCAGCATACAATCAGCGCCATTGAACCCTTTGGCCAAACTACCGAGTTCGAGGAATTGCTCGTCAGTGAAGCTTGGCAGGTTATAGTCGGCTCCAATATCTTCCAACTGAAACTTTATTATTTCAGATCGAGCTTCGGCATTGTCGGGTCCAGGAACTTCCACCTCGAAGTCTAGCCTACCTGGTCGCCGGAGTGCTGGATCCAGCTTCGATGGATCTGTTGTGATTCCCAAGATGACAATTCCGCTGCTAATGGCTCCCCCCAGCGCTGTCTGATGCTTGCTGGAAGCAGAACCAATGCCATCCAAGAGACCCAACAGCGTCGCGGTTAGGCGATCTGCCCCAACGTTGTACCCGCTCCTTTTGGGGCATACAAAATGAATGTCGTCAAATACAAGAAGTGCCCCAATCTTTCCCTTGGCCCCACCTTCCTCAGTGAGCGACATGGAAACCTTTTCAAATATCCTCACAATTCGTCGCTCCGCCTCTCCAACTTGCCCCGTATACGACTGGAGAGAAGCACAATTCACAGACTCGATGACAAGTTTTCCGGGGTGCTCTCTTTCCAAATCCACAGCAATCTGCCTAGCCAGACATGACTTGCCTACACCATGGCTACCATGCAACAAAACTCCACGAGGGGCTTTCATTGCTCGCTGAGAAAAAAGCTCCGGTTCCAAAATGGGTCGAAGAAGAAGTTTCTTCACTTTCTCGGCTGTTTCGGAAAGACCCGCAACAACTCGCAACGGGGATGATTCACTCCGTTCTTCCGCGGGCATGGTATCGGCTGTGCTTTCCGTTCTCTGGTTGCTGCTCGAGGATATTATTGTAATAGTAGTGCTTCTTCTAATCTTGTACAGAAGCAGTGACTGGGCTTGTTTTGGATTCTCTAATCCTTCTCGAATGCGAGTCCATATCTGTGCTTCAAAATCTGCGTGGTCTTCTTCTGGGTACTCGTCTTGTATCTCCAGGCTCTCCATTTCCAGTTCCAACAGCAGATCGTCACTTTTTGCTGGAGATTCTGCGCCAGTAATGTCTTTGACATGTAGATTGAGGGGCTTTCCCGCAAAGGATACAGGGGCGACACAAGATGCATGAATGAATCGGTCCTTCAACTGTGCCAGGACTAACTGCTTTAGAAGTTGGCTTGTGGTTGCCAAGCGGCTGGCAGGAAAAGATTCATCCGGAATCTCAACGTGCACTTGTTTGGCGTCTCGACAAAGGACACTTGCAGCATCTTTTCCTAAGGACGAAGTCATTGGTACAACCCACACGGATAATACTCTTGTTGCATTCTGATTCACTTTCGTGGGCGTTGCATAGGATGACGGAGAGCTAATCAAGGCATCCCCGCCACCTCCTTTTGCGAATGAAAAGCCAGATGATGGCGTGGATTGTTTGGGCGTTGCTGTCGCAGGAGGAGTCGAAGTAACCTCTCGCTGTGCAGTATTCAAATTGTCCTTGGATCCTTCCAAAAAGGAATCCAGCACAAAGGAAGGTTCCAGAGTGCAACTTCCAGACGTCGCAGACAGCTGACGGTTGTTACTACTGTTGCGAGTGGAGATGGCAACCTTGCACACAAAGGCACCTGCAATCGCATTTGAATCCTTGTGTTTGCAAAACACAATGGCATGATCCTTCGGCTTGAGCTGGACTCGTTGGGCATCTTCTGCCTCGACAGAAAGCACAGGATCGGAATCAAATTTCAGAGAAGGCTTTGGCTCTTTCTTTGCTGAAACCCTCAATTTCAATGCAAGAAAGCTTATTGCATTGTCATCAGGCACCGTCGATGCTTCTCGTCCTCGAGACTTGGAAACAGACGCAGTCGAAGCGGGGGTGATGTTCCCTTGAGGGCCTTTTGCTGCCTTCTTCTTTTTCTTTGCCATTTCTGGGCTTCTTGCATGAGTAAATGAAGGACCTGAAGGATGCCTTGAGGGGCGAGTGCGCAAGCACCATCAAAACAAGGACTACGGAGTTGACCTGTTGCAAATATACCAGTACGTTGTGTTATGTTCTGGTTATACATGTACTACTGGCTAGTAGTACTAGTACCGGGCAGACCCCGGTGATCTCTGAGGCCATTTATTGTGGTGGTGGTGGGCTTTGGTTGGTTGGTTATCCTTAGAGTTAGTGTTTTCTCTAATGGACTTCAGCCCCCTGGGGCCCCCGTTTTCCGAATTCCTTGCACTTTCTCATAATGATACAACGGATCCCAATATTTTCCTCACATCGCACACCTCTAAACTCCCTTATAAAAGCTTCCAAGTCACTTTCTCAGACGGAAAATCTAATGACCTACGTTGCGCACCTCTAAACTCTCTTAAGCTTCCAAGCCACTTTCTCAGACGGAAAAATTATTGATCCACGTTGCACACCTCTAAACTCCCTTAAGCTTCCAAGCCACTTTCTCAGACGGACAAATCTAATAACTCACGTTGCACACAACGCTCTAAACTCCCTTCAGCTACCAAATCACTTTCTCAGATAGAAAAATCTAATAACTCGTGTTGCACATGTTCCAATTCAGCTCGCCCGGTATATCTATTACACCTCTGGTGTCCTTTATTTTAGTTTGGTGGTTGTGTGGTGTCACTTTTCCTCTTTCTTTACCGTTAGGGTTACAGGTTACTAGTACCCTCCCCTCCACAAAGGGAAAAAGCCAGTGGTACCGTACGATTGATTATACATGTAGTGCACGATTATACCATCACGCGGTACCGGCCAGATGTAACCCAACAACCCAACTCCACTCCTCATACCCACCCGACTCCTGGGCATTGAGCTGGGGAAGGAGCTGCCCAGGAGAAACACTATAGAGATGTCGCTGACTGGGAAGCTGAGGCCAGCAGTGGTGGTACGACCAGGACTGGGGCTGGAACTAGCAGGACCAGTACGATTATACAATTATGCGGTACCGGCCAGATGTAACCCAACAACCAAACTCTGCTCCTCATACTGACCCGACTCCTCAGCTGGCTAAGAGGGTTGCTTGGTAGCTCTAGCCATAATGCTAGGAAAACTGCTAGGGAGCCATATCACTAGCTGGGAGGGTTGCTTGTTAGCTAGCAAATGCTAACTGACTGGAAGTTGGGAGGATGGAGCTAGGAGAATGCTGCTTTGGAGCCCTGTCACTGGCTTGGAGAGTTGCTCAAGTGGTAGCTATCTAAAGCAAGTATACATTCTGGGAGCCCAAGGCAGTAAGTATTTGCTATTTGCTTGCCAATCAACTGGCAGCCCTTTTTGCTATTTCTATTTCCGTAGTTGGCGCATCTTGTTTAACTCGGTCTGGATTGATGGCCAGAGCGATGATCGCTGCGATGCCAATAAATAAATAATAAATTTAAAAATAAATTAATAAATAATTATATTTATTTTATTAATTAATTTTATTTTAATTTAATAATAAATATAATTTAATTAATTATAATTAATTAATTAATTTATTATTTATTAATTTAATGTTGTACTACCCACACAAACGCATGCCTCAAAAACATTCCACTAGGGGTGTTCCAAAGACTTGCTAAACTCACTAAGTTACCAACAAGAATGCAACCAAACCCTCGATGAGATCTATCCACTACACTTCGAGGCGCTGAAGAAAGCTGGACTGGTTCAGACCAGATACCAACACTCCAAGAAGAAATACAACGATACTCCCAGAGACAAGAGGACAAAGCAAACGAACCAGATAGAGATGCCAACAACGAAAGAGGAACCGGAACCGATCATTATTTTCTGTATAGGACACTCCAACGCCTGGACGACCCCAATAAACAAGGTAATCAACGACCCAAGAAGAGCCATGGCCTCAATGGATCAGAACGTCTATGTCCTACAATCGATTCACCAACCTGCGAGAATGTTCATGGGCGACCTATCCAGGAAACTCACCAATAACGTCATCTCCACCGAGTTCCAAAATGAAACCTGCAACTGCAAGCCAGGAAATAAGAAAGAGGCCAATGCCGATTGACGACCGCTGTAGAAACAAACTGGCCATATACTGCATAAATGCATAACTCGGGCAAAAATACGTTGGGGCAACCCAACGAAACGTCAAAGAACAACATACCAACACTTCACCGCGTCATGCGTCTCCTCTACGGAAACGCAAGTCAGATTCATACCAAGACACTTCGCCAACGAATTCCAAAACTTCGCACATCCTTCACCATTCCGACTTAACGGCGACATTCAAAGGAACAGCATCGAAATTAGCATCCTATGGCAAGGCAACCCATCAGCACTGTCAAGACCTTCGGGACACGAAACTGCAGCCTATGCAACAGGGAGCGACTCGAGATACTGAAACGATCCAGAGAATGCCAGAAAAGCTGATCAACTCCTGCAACGAAATATACGGAGCATGCGACATAAACCTCGATTTCATAAGTACCACAATAGCCCAAGCACTGATGATTCCCAAGGGGGATGAAAAAGTCAAACAACCGAAAAGTTACCACAGAGTAAAGCCTGTGTTTTAGCGATTCGGCAGTTTGTGAGTAAACTTACTTAGTTCAGTCACTTTTTGCTAAAATCGTATGAATGCTGTACAGTCGTAATGCACTGCCCTTGTGCTATGGGAAAAGTTTCTTTGATTTCGTACAAGAAAGTTACACCGATCTGGCCATGCCACTGCAGCCCATCAAGATTGACATGGTGAACATGCAGGTTCAAAACTGGGAGTTAGCAGGTGGATTGGCATCTCTGAGCATCACAAGCAAGCTGGGTCAGACAATGATTCTGTCTCTTCCCCCTGATTGTGATATTGTCAAACCAAGGTCCGCTGTGCCTCCTTGGTGATTTGCAGAATCGAATCGTTGTAAACGGCTCACTGATCATCAGTTTCAATAGTTGGATGTTCCCCGTAGACGAATAGTTCGTTGACTTCTGCAATGGCCAAGTCCGCTCCTTCCCTCAACAGTTCATGGTTGGGGTCATCCACATCTTCAGAATAAGCCCAGCTGGGATTGCTGCTTCCACTGCCTTGAACTAGAATGGCGACTCCCAGCATGAGAATAAATAAACCAATAGGATACATGACTAGATTGGCAATGCTGTCAAGGTGTTCAAAAGTATGATAGTGAGCTGCACTCATCAGACTGGTGCTGACCACGTAGCTCCCTACTGACACGGCCTGAGAAAAAGTAGCGTCATAGCGCTTCATTGTGGCTGTATTGAGTAGTAGCCCCCCTAAGCTCAAACCAATGGCAAGGAGGATGAATAATGGCAAATACCAGGGAATAGATATGGATGGTCCCTTTTTAAAGGTTGAAACGACAATCAAGCTGTCTTTGACAAAGCACTGTGCCATCCCACTAATGGCGCCTCCGCTTGTCCCCCAAGCAAACCGTCTAAGGCTCCGTATAGTAGTAGGACTCCGAATCCACAATGTGATGAGAGCCACATAGACGGCAGAGCTCAAGAAGTAGGCAATGAAGGGTCCTTCTCGATAGGAGGCCTCAACGGATGCACGGGTGGCATCTCCCTCATTGTTGTGATCTCCAAATATCGCCACTGTTACTTCTCCCGTCACAATTAGTGTTGAAGCTACCTTTTGTGCAAAGCTTGGTTCCTCTCCCACCAATGACTTGCTGAAGACAATTACCCAAACCAAGTTAAGGCCAGAAAAGGGTGCTAGGATACTGGGAGTGGCATACTCCATGGCTACCAGGACAAGAGGAGGGCACAACAATGAAATGCCAAGCATACCAGTGAAGCGAAGGATCCGGGCCAAGGTGCAGCAATGGCAGCATCCAAGTATTGATGCGGCACAGCAACAGCAGGAAGGTGGGAATTCACCCAATAGAGGGATTGTGTTGTCACCCTGTACTGGAGAATCAGTGTGGCTTTGCGGACAACCCAAACACCGCCCTTGACCTTCATCATCGCCGCATTCTATTTCGACCAGCGGAGATCCATTGGAATTGTCACCGTGTATTGATCCCTCTTCAAAGTTTGTCTCTATGTACTCTTCGTGGGGATGGATGTCTTCCAAGTTTAGTGCTTGATAGCTGCTTGGTTGCTCGGAAACTTCTTCCATGAGCCAAGACTTGCGAATGGTCAATGTCGAGGCGGCCCCAACCAAGGAGGCTATCACTGAGCAGCAGACTCCCGTTATCCAATCTGAAGCGTCCATTGTGCTTGCCGCTTGTGTTTGTGCGCGGCGTCTTCTTCCTGCTGAGCCGATCTTCACCCATCGCACATGGTGACACTCTCCATCATCCGTGGCCGTTGCGGCGTCTTGGTTTTCTTTTCTCGCGAATCAGTCCCGTTACATTCATGACTATACTTTTTGAGCCGTTTGCACGGCAAACCCGCATCGATGTCATTTCACTTCGAATTCGAACGTCGCAATGAACAACGCTGCTTGCATCGTCAAAGACAACACAGCATCGACCAACGAAGAATCAATCAACCAAAGAGCTGCTTATATCTTTCTGCTTGCTCCTCACAGACTTGCCATTGTTGTTTTTGAGTAGCGAGTGAGAAAGGAGCGTCGAAAATGTCAGAGATTTGGATGACTTCGGGCAGACGACGCCTTCGATACAAAGAGGGCGAATCGATCGCCCAACGAGCAAAGGCTCGAGCTGCCTTCATGGGATACATTCCAAAGAAACGAAATCGTGCAGGGAAAGGAAGCAAGAACATTCAACGCAATCATCCAAGGTTTACCAAGCGAACATCATGTAAGTGGGCTCTGCGATCTCATGGTGTTGGTTAGTCAATTCGTGTGTCCGTGTTCGGAAACGCTCACCCACGATACCGAATCTCTCTTGCTTTCGATGCAGTTGAGGCTTTGGGTAGTAGCTGGTCGTGTCCTCTCGCAAGACGCGGCATTGTTGCGGCAGGAGAACCACAGCGAACAGACCGAGAATCGAACGGACTCCAGGACAACGCGACATCGGGGTCGAAAGACGCAACTGCTGTACAGCCTCCTCGAAAAAGAATACGGGATGCCAACGCTTCAAATCATTTCTTCCCAAACAATGTCCCTAAAAAGCCCGTGCCACCTCCGATGAGACAGTACCCTCGTCCGATGCATCAGCAGACTGGCCGTGTGGTGCCAAAAGTCCAACGACCTCAAATTCCTGCAAACCCCTCGTTCCGACCACCTCCGCAGGGTCCACCCCGAACTAGCCTTCATCGGTCACAGCCTCAACCACCAGGACCATACTTTCAGCAGCCGCAGCACCACTATCGGCAAGAAGTCTCATATCCATCTGAGCCCTCACAAGAGCGAAATTCCATCGGCCACCTCTTTGATGACGACTCAACTCTCCCAACTGATCAATCCTACCAGCCCACTGAATTCTATGATCAAGAATACCACCATTACCCACAAGACACGTTGCCTCGCGGTACAAATTGGTCACATCAGCCGTCTCAATCTGACTTTAATGATCGCCCGCCGCATCGTGCTCCTGAGCCGGCACCATGGTACGATGAAAACTGCTTCGATCAACAACCATGGTCTCCAACTGAACCCTATGAGACGTTACTAGACTCAATCCATAGCCTCGGAGGACAGCAATCGTATCATCCCGAAGTGCAGTTTCCAGCTGAGCCTCAAGAGTATCTGCCGAGTGGACATTTGGAAGCTCCCAATATTCACGGCTACGGCTACAATGAACAGAGAGGCGGTTTCTTCGAAGAGAACGATACGAATGACCACTTCGAGCATCATGATAACCAGTACCACGACGAGGACGTTCATCAACAAGAGCACACACAGCCCTTGCTGCCGCCACAGGCACCAAGTGGTTTCTTTCGAGAAGGGCCGGGCACAGTAGAATTCACAGGACCAGCAACGCTTAGAACGAACCATCAAGCACACTTTGCAATCAGTGTGACCCCCGCCTCTCAGTCCACGTTTCATCAAGCAGGTTTTGACCAACTTCCTGAACGATCTACCCGTCGTTCAGACCCGTTGAGCACAGCCCGTCAGTCCTTCCACAGCAGTACCGGGCCAACGCAAGCACAAGGACATCAACGTCAGGCGGGACAGTCAAATGAAGGATGCGAGCACGACAGCTATTTTGGGCTTGGGCAGACTAGAGCACCAGGCGGCTGGCTGGGGAACGGAGATGTTCGACAACACCACGTGCCGACGCAAGATTGTTTTTCGGAATCCCATCAGTGTGATGACGAGACCCCCCGGGTTCCCCCCAACGATGTACCCTTCGGTGTGATCACTACCGTTACGACTCCAGGGGGAGGCCCGGCCATGAGCGCCATGACTGAAGGAAGCGAGTTCGCCGCTTGTGTTATTCCAGGGCACGCTGGGAACGACAGTTTTCATGAGTCGTCTGGTTACGCTGGTGACGTATCAAATGAGAACAACGGCATCGATGATGCTAATTTCTGACAACCAAGACCAAGGGGAACAAGACACTAAAGCGGGAGACCTTCTATTGCGTGCCGGTATCTGTACAAGTCACCGTATTCTGTTGCATGTAGTGTAGATCTTGACAAGTCTCATAGCTCTTACATGTTACTAAACAACTAAGTTCGTTTGCAACATCCTTACTACCCTACTCGCATTTACACCGGTACCTGGTACCGTACCAACGTGCAATGCTTTCGGGATCAACAATCATTCGTGCTCCAACGGCATTTGGGTTGGACGGGCAAAGCTTCGTGCCTTTTAAGAGTTGCTTGCTGTAGAAGATCAATGATTGGACAGCCTCCCGGAGGGCGAAGGTTTCATACCAGGCCATCTGTGACGAAATTCTTTTCGAGTTGTTGTTCCCTGCACTTCATGGCTTCTGCAGAATGCAAACGAGACGATATGCAGTGTCCTCATTGTTGATATCTACTTCCTCTGAGAGAGCCCCATACATTGCAGCCACCTTAAACCCAGAACAGCGAGCAAAGAGCTCCATTTCTTGAGCCGTGAAAAGCTTCAGAGGAACCACTCCACGGATACTTTTCTTTTCCGCATCTTCAACACCTGTCAAGTTGAGCACCACTGTGTTCTGCCGCACTTGCTGGATTGGATCGATTTCATCATTCTCGTCTCCCCAAACCACGTGAAGCTCCCCATATTCTTTCCCATTGTCGTCGTCCAACGGTACATCCCAGCTGTTTGTCGTGGACTCTATCATGTTGAAAACTTCGTTTGGATGGGGTAGCTCTAGAATCAGAGTCCCTTTTGGAGTCAACGAGCGATGGATGGCCTTCAAACAGGCAATAACATCCTCGTTTGTTGTCATGTGTTGGAGGGAACCAGCCAGAATCCAAGCAGAATCGCATGGTTCTTCCAATTCAAAGGTTCTCATATCATCACACAGAAATGTGAACTTGGAAGACAACATGTCATTATCAAGCACTTCCCTGGCTACGCCGCGCCCATATTCGACCATTTCGGGAGACAAATCCAAGGCGATTGCACGGTCTACCAGTTTGGAAGACAATGCTTCCATGCAATGCCGACCAGGACCAGATGCCACTTCAATCACAGATTTTGCCTTTTGGCCAGACACTTTTTCGTGAGAATCCAAGAGAAACTCCACCTCGCTTTCATAGTTTCGATACCCCATGGCTAGATCATACAAGGCTGGAGCAGAGTATATTCTCTTGAGATTTTCAATACTGCCACTGCCTTTCTTTGCTTCATCCTCGTTTGTGGAGGATCTCTTGCCAAATCCTTGGCCACCAAAAAGCTGCGAAGGCGTTGTTTGGAGTTGCTTCACTTTCTTCAGTGGATTAAGGTGAAAAGCAACTGCTAGGGGAAGCAATGCCATCAGAGTCAAGCTGGAGAATAGTTTCATTGTTGCTCTGCTCATGGGTGTGATGCTTCCTTCTGGCTATCCGATAATGGATGTAGGTCTCCACAAGCTGAAATATCTACCAGTATCTGCTTCGTCTTTGGATGTGGGGGCGTGTTGTGTTATGTTCTGGTTATACATGTACTACTGGCTAGTAGTATGTTATGTTGGGTGGTGTTGGCATCAGTGACTGACGTTTGAAGCAATCACTAGTTCAACCACGAATGAGTGACAGTCTAAAAGTCTTCCCCATCTCCCTTGAAAACACATGCGTCACAGGTCTCATTCATTGAGCGTGGAAGGGACTGCCATCCCATGCAACGTGTGTACCGAACGCAAATTCAAGAAAGGATTTTGTTCAGGAGGATGTAACAGTGTGACGACAAACGCATAGGAGAGTTGCAACGGCGACAAAGCTGGTTGCTGGCTGCTTCGGTATTACGTATCTTCATTAGCTTTCAGCCAATTCCCACAAAATGATAAGAAAGCCAGAGATCCGTGAAATGGCCAACGAGCTTGGGCAAGAGACCAAGGCACAATCAAGAAGCATGAAGCTGCAAAAAGGTTCCGTATGCCATGGTGTCTTCTCATCCAGGGCGTTGATCCTCATTCTTTGTCTGTTTGCAGTGGCCAATGGTGATTGGATAGACCCAGATACCCCAGAAGAAGTCATGACAACAACAGCCTATACGGTTATTCCGCCACCGAAACCCACGGCAGCTCCCTCCATTAGCTACGATGACGACTTTTACTTTGACGACGACTTGTTAAGGTTGCATAACAACTCGACTAAGAGGAAACCCAAGCGCTTGAAACCAACCAAGGCTCCCACAAAAGCACCCACGCTTCAACCGACGGAACCTTCTGCCTCACCTTCAGCGTATCCTACAGCTACCGCTGGGGCATATAAACTGGTCTTCTCGGACGAATTCAATCTCCCTGGTCGTTCCTTTGATGACGGCACTGATCCCAGATGGACTGCTTTGGATAAGAATGATTACACCAACAACGCACAACATTACTATAGTCCCGGGAATGCTTATACCAACGACAAGGGCGAGCTCGTTATCAAGACTGAAGCTGCCGATACCGACGTGGTTGGCTTCGATGATGTCAAGCGAGAAAAGACACACGTTACAAAGCACTTCCGTTCTGCCATGCTTCAAACTTGGAACAAGTTTTGTTTTACAGGTGGTATCATAGAAGCAGAAGTAGTCTTGCCGGGCAGACATGACGTAGGAGGACTCTGGCCAGCATTCTGGTTGCTGGGGAATCTGGCAAGGCACACCTATGTTGGTTCGTCCGAACACATTTGGCCTTGGAGTGAAGTCAAATGTACTAAAAAAAGCAGGGATTCACAGCGGCTATCAGCGTGCCACAAAGTTGCCCATTACGGGATGAAAGCAGGTGTGGGACGAGGAGCTCCCGAAATGGATATCTTTGAAGTGCAACCTGGAAACGTCCATGCCGGTACAGGACCATTCAAGGAAATGCCCGTGGGACAGCCCTTTATGAGTTCCTCCTTTCAAGTGGCTCCTGGTAGAGCTGATATCAGACCTGGAAATGGATACTGGCCCGGTCCTGGACAGTGGTACGAGGGGCTGATAGGCGGAATGAACAGCACTTTGAACATCCAATTCTATGGAAGCTACAATCATTTCAGAGGAGACTATAATCCTGCTGTTTCGGACTACTGGAGCGATGCTCTCAGCTTCAATCAACAACTCAACGAAACTCACTTTAAAGATCAGCACAAGTACCGACTAGAATGGCAAGTTCCAACCGAAGATCAATTAGGCCACTTGCATTGGTTCCTGGATGGGCAACTTGTGTTGGCAATCAATGGCGAGTCATTTGTTAAAAACGGCATGGGTAAGTGAATGTTTATCTTCCGTTTGAGGGACGCTAAACTTGGACACAAGATTGGTTCTCATGTGTCACCGTCCCCGCATGTCTGAAACTTGCTAGGGAGTGAGATCTCCTCCGAACCCAGCTACATTTTATTCAATACTGCTGTCTCCTCCGAGTGGGGCTTCCCCAAGGAATGCCCCGAAAACTGTCCGTGCAAAAAGTACAATTGCTATTCGAATGATTTCCGTGAGAAGTGTGGGTTTTCAGAAGGTTTTTGCCCCATGATGGAAGAAAAGCCTGCCGAAATGAAAGTGAATTGGGTGCGAGTCTACCAAGATCCAGCCGACCCGACGCAAAAGGTTGGTTGCTCCACTCCTGAGCGCCCCACCCGCCAATACATCGAAGCTCATGCGAAGTCATACAAACAGGAGAACGATGTAAGAAAGGAGACAATTAAAGTTTGTCGGCTTTCGACTGCCTCATGGACACCTTCGCCTCACACGTACGTTGTCTTTCGTGTTTGACTCTCTGTGCTACAGGTGACCCCGCTCAAGGGCATCCAAACAGGCCGTGGTCGGTGCGATCCAGCTGCCCTAGGAGAAATCGCAGCAGCTTGTGGCGGAAGCAGCCGTGGCCACTGTACGAGGGGCGCTGTGTGCGAGTGCGATCCTGATTGGACCGGGCCCCATTGCCTTGCCCACCGTGGGCGGGATCCAATCCTCTATGATTCTCCAGATCGGATAACAGATGTTGGGTTCGAACTACCGTTTGTGCAGGCCGCTCGGTTTCTGGTCTTTGCTCTTGCTTTCCTCGGTGTCTGCCTTTTCTTGAATGTCCGATGTAAGAAGAAAATTGAGGGATGGGAACCAATCCCTGATATGAACAAACAACTGCACGCTTGAGAGACGCGCCCTGAGTTTGTGTCGTACAACCAGCCAGAAGTCCCATCATGTTCATCACGCTTCACAAGCTTTGTTCCCGCTATTCTGCTGTTCGCTCATGCATGACAAAGAATCTGTTTCAAAAATACTAGAGATCTTTATATTAGACCATTCGTGCAGCTGTAAATGTGGATGTACTTCGAGACGTCACATTCATTGTTTCCAAGTTGGCTGCAAGGATCATTTATTGGTCTGAGTGGGACTACTGTATGAATGATTGCGATCAGGCAGGCGGTCACTACCAGCAACAAGCAGGCTTCACGGGGCTATCGTCTCTGCTAGCTACCGTAGTCAACAAACCATAATACTCACTCACAATCATACTGCGCTCTCCCGCTTATTGCTGTCCTCCGTCCTCCAACCATAGAATTTACTCTGTACCATACATCAAATTCATGCTCTATCTGATTTGTGGAATGAAACTATGGGCGACTACAGTTCTCCAACACCAGCTCCTGGACGTCGTCCAATCTCTTCCTCCATTTTTCTTCCAGCTTCCTGGAATGACTTTCGGCCCTCCTTGATACTTTCTCTCCATTTCTTGGGATCGTTGATAACTTCTTTGAATTCATCAGTACCGAACATCCCTGCCATCATTGGATTATTGAGCATTTCTGGGTGGTTCAAAACTTCCTGCCTCGCTTCTTCAATTTTTTCATCGGAATCGAGTCCTTCCGTGAACATTTTGGCCAAATCGTGCATTGCAAAGTCGGCAGTTTTGTGCATGCTTTCCATGGCCTCTTTAATCTTGTCCGGGTCATTAAAGATGCCCTTCATTTGCCCGAATGATTCTCGCATTTTGGATTCGAAATAGCCGGGATCTGCTTTGAACTTTGCCAACTCCTCGGCATCGACCATTCCTGTTTGTTCCAATGATTTCAAGACTTCATCCTTTTGTTCGATAATTTTATCGGCCATACTATCGTCCGTGAGCATTTGCATGGCTTCCTGCATTTGTGCTGCGAGTTGCTCGGGTGTCATCTTGGACAACTCATTCATGGCTTCGCCAAATTTATCACCCATGGCTCCCATTTGTTTCATAGCTTCGGGATCGCTGAGTGCATCCTGCCACAGCTTTTGCATCTGTTCCATATCGACATTTTCCATCATTTTTGCCATGTTTTCCATGTCGGCAGCACCAGCACCGCCACCGCCTTGCTGGTCTTGGATGGCTTGTTCATTGAGATCTTGAAAGCTTGATTTCTTTTTCATGGGAATTCCAAATTGGGCAGCAATGGGCTAGATAGGTAGAGAAATAACACAAAAAAGATATGACCATGGCAAGGCATCCGTTGAGTGGATCCACTCCATCGTTTGCGGAACAAAAAGCACAGAAGAAACTCACCGACACCAAGAGCGTGGTGACGCTTACAAATCGAAGTATACGAAAGCCCATGGTTCTAGAGAGAATGCAGATTTTTAAAATATTATCTAGTTTGTGTTGTGTTGTGTTGTTGTGTTCTGCTGAGTTTGGATCTGGGGTGTCTGATTCAGATTAGATGTGACCAGTGGCCAAGTGGCGATGATGATGGATGCTTTATGCTTTGACAGTGGTTTCGTTTTGTTGTGGGAAAGCAGAGGCTTCCGACACGTGGAGGCAAAGCGACACACACTTGCGTATTATCCATGATTCAATCGACTAATTCGACTATTTTCGATCCAGACGCCACAACTTATTGAAGAGGGGACGTCTCGTCTCTCACGAGGAAGCCGCCCATCCACAGATTGTCTTCTCCTCGATCTCCAGCCAAACATCAGCAAAGCAACCCAAGGCACTCATCATCAGAAGACGAGGCATCTACTCTACCGGTACGGTACAAGCTATCTAGCTAGCTAGTAACTCAATTGTAGAAAGAAAGATGGGCAAGGCAAAGAAAAAAGGTGGCGGCAAAAAGCCCCAGCAAAAGCAAGAGGACGATTTTGACGATGATTTGGCCTTTCTAGAAGCGGCTGCCGCAGCCAATGAGACACCCAAGAAGGAAGAACCCCCCAAGGAAGAGCCGAAGGCAGCAGAAGAAAAAGCCGACGGTGCTGCTGCTGCTGCTGCTGCTGCTGAAGATGCTGCTGCTGCCTTTTTGGCGGCCCAAGGGATTGCCGGCGAGGAAGGCGAAGGCGGTGGAAAGAAGGACAACAAGAAAAAGAAGAAAAAGAAAAAAGGCGGCGGAGGCGGAGGCGGTGAAGAACAGAAAGCACCGGTAGGTTGGATTGATTGTATTGTTGAAGTCTGATGGTCTTGAAAGCAAGACAAACGTTGTCTCCTGGTGTCTGCCAACATGACATTTTTTGGTTCTCTCGCACTCATCTCATTCATTTCATTTTGGTACTGTTCTGTTCATACACTGCAGCAATCCAAGCAAGGGAAATTGTTGGCAGAGCGCATTCGAAAGCAACAGGAAGAGGAGGAACAACGACGAAAGGAAGATGAAGAAGAAGCGCGTCGTATCGCAGAAGAAGAGGCCAAAGAAGCAGAAGAATTGCGCAAAAAGGAGGAAGAAAAGGAGCGAAAGAAACAGAAACAAAAGGAAAAGGTCGCCCGACAAAAGGCAGAGGGAAAATACATGACAAAAGCCCAAAGGCAAAAAGCAAAGCTGGCAGAACAACGATTGGAAGCCATGCGAGCGGCGGGAATGTTGCCCGTCGAGGGGGAGGGAGATGCTCCCAAAAAGAAAAAGGTTGTCTACGTCAACAAGAAAAAGGCAAAAGGCAAGGACAACAACAATGACGATGTGGAGGAATCCGAGTCCAAAGACACCGAACATGCCGAGGAGGACAAGAAAGAAGAGGAAGAACAGACAGCAAAGAAAGAGGAACCTGAAAAGCCGGCGGAAGACGGTGACGATGGGGACAAGGAGGATTCCTCGGGCGACGAGTGGGATGCCGATAGCGACGATGACGCCAAGTTCGACGACCTGGATGCAAAGTTGCAAAAGGTCGCCACGGACGATGTGGAAGACTTGATCGAGCTCGAGAAGAAAAAGGAGCTGGAACGCTTGCGAGAGATTGGTTTGAAGCGCGCCGAGCAAGACCGAATAGAGCAGGAAAAACTGGCCAAGATCCAAGCGGAACAAGAGGAAGCCAACCTCAAGGAGCAACTGGCGATGCAGAAGCGAGAAGAAGGAAAAAAGAAGCGCGAGGCACAAGAAAAAGCAAATCTGGATGCACGAAGCCGCGACGATCTACGCTGCCCCATTGTTGTGATGTAAGTGGATATACTGTACATAAACCGTGTCGCTCTGGCGGGAAAGATTGGATGATGTTCTCACGCTTGTTGCCCATCAAACGTTCTTTTGCCTCCTCTTATAGTATGGGTCATGTCGATACAGGAAAAACAAAGCTACTCGACAAGATCCGAAAAACCAACGTGCAAGATAATGAGGCCGGCGGAATCACGCAACAAATTGGTGCCACGTATTTCGAAAAGAAGACTCTGGAAACTCAGACTGCAAGGCTGAACGAAACCGAAAAGGTCGAACTAACCGTGCCTGGTATGCTGGTTATTGACACACCTGGGCACGAATCCTTCACCAATCTTAGATCTCGTGGTTCATCGCTGTGCGATGTCGCAATTCTGGTGGTCGATCTTATGCACGGCCTGGAGCAACAGACCATTGAGAGTTTGACAATGCTGCGAAAGAGGGGCGTCCCGTTTGTTGTTGCCCTGAACAAAGTCGATAGGTGCTACGCGTGGAAGACCTGTAAGGACTCCCCAATCCGCGATGCTCTCAAGGAGCAGGAAGAGGGCACCATTTCCGAGTTCCGAAGCCGATCCACCAACGCAAAGGTTCAGCTGCAGGAACAAGGTGTAAACTCCAACCTTTACTGGGAGATGGGCGACGAAGATTGGACTAATTCAGATTTCATTCCGTTGGTACCCACTTCAGCAATTACCGGGGAAGGCGTGCAAGATATCCTACTACTCCTCTGCCAAATCGCCCAACGAAAAATATGGAAACAGCTCATGTGGTGTGCCAATCTGCAGTGTACTGTTCTGGAGGTGAAAGCCATCGATGGCCTGGGAATGACAGTGGATATTTTGGTCGTGAATGGATACCTTCGAGAAGGAGATAAGGCTGTCTTTTGTACTCTGGATGGGCCCGTTGTGACAGAAATTCGAGGTTTGCTGACTCCTCCGCCCAGCCGGGAAATGCGTGTCAAAGCCGATTACATTCATCACAAGGAGGTCAAGGGCGCTCTTGGAGTCAAAGTCATTGGAAACAACCTGGAGAAAGTCATGGCCGGGACTTCTGTGTTGGTACGGCACACCTGCTCGTTTTGACGCCTCGTTCGACTGCATGCCCTTTGCTTACACACATTCCCCCCTCTGTCTGTTTTCAGGTTGTGGGTCCTAACGACGAAGAAGAAGATATCAAGGCAGAGGTCATGTCTGATTTGACCAATCTAGAGGACAAATTGAGCACGGACAAGCAAGGAGTTCTTGTCCAGGCGTCTACCCTTGGGGCATTGGAAGCACTTTTGCAGTTCTTGCGAGTGGAGACAAAACCACCAATTCCGGTCAGTGCCATCGGAATTGGAACTATCCATAAGCGAGACGTCACAAAGATATCCATCATGGTGAGTTTTATGTTGGCGACGGAGTGGAAAGCAGAAGTGCAACTATTCTCTAACCGACGCATTCTGTTTCTCGTCAATACTCAGAACGAAAAGGGTCACCCGGAATATGCAACTATTCTTGCATTCGATGTGGGCGTTGAACGTGAAGCTCGGGAGCACGCTCAGGTAAGGGATCCGTCTGTTGTAGTGGTTAAGCCGTCTTGTTTGTCCCTTGCCTTTACTGACCCACTGGACCTTTACTACCCATCCAGGAAATGAATGTGCGAATCATGACGGCAGACATCATCTACCATCTCTTTGACCAGTTCACACGGTTCATGGGAGAGTTGACAGAGCGACGAAGACAAGACGCTCAATCGTAAGTCGTCCCTAGATTGATTGTGATCACCTTCGAAGTCAGATTCTGCGTTGCTAACGAGTCGAGTCTCATGTCGTGTTTCTCTAGTGTGGCTGTCTTCCCAAGCATCATCAAGATCCTTCCTCAACACGTCTTCAATCAAAAGGATCCCATCATTGTGGGAGTGGAAGTCGTGGAGGGCATTTTGAAGATCGGCACACCTCTTTGCGTCCCCGCGCTGGGAGGATTGCATGTTGGAAAAGTGACTTCCATCGAAAGCAATGGCCGGGAGCAGGAAACGGCACGGAAGGGCGCTTCTGTTGCTATCAAGATTGTGAACGAGTCAAATCCAACTCTCACGTACGGGCGACAATTCGATGCCACCAATATGCTTTACTCAACAATCACTCGGGCTTCTATTGATGCTTTGAAAGAACACTTCCGGGATGCGCTGGAAAACGAGGATTGGCGACTCGTTGTGAAACTTAAGAAGGTCTACAACATCATCTAACTTTCAGAGAAAACATGTGCGGTGAGACGACCTCATCTGGCAAACATTAGCTATAGCAAAAGCATCACCTATGTAGACTTCATCTACAAGATAGCTTTATTCTTGATCTATTTGATGAAATGGCTGGGACCTGGTCAAATCGTTGCCTCGGGAATCGAATCAATCGACATCACTCGGGTACATACCGAAACAGTAGCTTCGCACTAGTGCTGGTAGTTAAAATTAGATAGCAAAATAACTCTACTGCGTGGCGACAGCCTGGGTTGGATGGGCTATGACTGCGGATGAAGCAACCTCCACAGCCCGAATGGCCGTCCTTTCTTTTGCATGGGGCCGTAAGCGTCGCTTGACAATGCCGATCCAGCGGCGATCGAATCAAAGAGCCAGTTGAAATTCACAATCAGCACCTTCTGCTTCGCCTCACCTCCCCTTTCGATGGCTGCTTTCAACGGGCGATACAAGCTGTCTGAGAATGTGCTGCAATTGTCGTCGCACAAGAGGACTAGTGATTCATCCGATGAGCCAGATTTACAACGCTCCAAGCAAGCTACAGTGGACGTCATCTGTGTGGACACCCTTGCCCCTGATTCGTTCAGCAACAACAGAACATCTTCCTTGGGGGGCCGATCAAAGCGCCCAAGCAGATGAACTGTAAACTTTTCAAGTAGTCGCATGCCATCGTATCTGGCCGCCATTTTAGCAACCGCATAGTCTGCCACACCACACCTCCTGACAGCCTCTACCTTGACTGGAAGAGATCGAACCAACATTGAAGCCAACGGCATGGTTATTTGCCCTTGATTTCGACACAGTGCAATCCAAGAAGGAGACACAAGCGGAATCCCCGCCAACATACAACGCATACCCTTGAGCGTGCGACCGTTGCCCACAAGATTTTCGTCGTCATCATCTTTCGAAGCAGCCGGCACAATGCAAAGAGTCGTATTTTTGGCACGGAAAGCATCGCTTTGTTTGATTCGCACTGTTTCAGAACCATCACAAATAACGCATGAGCGCAACGAAGAAGGAACGAGTGCCAGCTCGGAACAAATCCACTCACCGTTTCCAAACCCCTTAGCTTCGCTGATGAGTGCCTTGAGGGAAGCCTTGTCGTCATCAGACAAGCCAGATGCAATCACACTAATCAAACAGTTGTCCAGACCGTTTTGAAACTTCACGGCATATTTCTCGTCAGCCAATCTGCAAACATCGCGATTGGACGATGGCAAGGACTGCACTGGGGCAGAAACCTCTGGACCTGCCTTTTGCTTTTTGGGGGCACGACCTTTGCTCGTTCTGGCAGTGCTCCTATTCTTCACTTGGGAGTCTTTTTCATCTTGCCGTGCTTTGCTGGTCACCGTTAGAGCCTTTTTCCGCTGTGCGCTTCCGCGTTTGTTGCTGGGCGGATGCTGAGTAGTTGACTTTCTCTTTGCAGGGACCACAACCGCCTGAGCAGTGGATTGTTTGCGCCGTGCGGAGCCACTCCCTCTCGGTACCGTAGTGGCCTGTTCAGCCGTCATTGGCGCAACATCGAAGCCTTCTGCAGCCAACTGCTTCATCAAGTCTGGAGGCAAGATCGCACTCTGCTCCTGAACCTTCCTCTCGTGTTTGACCTTGACATCTCTGCGTTTTGTGGAGATTCGCCTTGATTTGCGTTCTCTTTGAGAAATGGCCGCAACAGTTTCATCTCCATTCGTTGACACATCCAACGAATCTGCTGGGGCATCAATACGATCATTGCCACCAGTCCAATCCATCTCTTCAGGCGGTCTACTCAAGAATACAGCATCAACATTCTTCTCCTTTCCACCTAAGATGTATTGGATATGATAGGATCCATCCACTACCTTTGAGATTTTAGCAATTCCACCGGGTTTGTTGACTCCCGGCCATGTTCTTGACCGCACTTGAACGATTTCGCCCACCTTGAATGCGACGGCGGCAGAAATCTCTTGCCTCTCGGTGCGTTCGCTTTGATTGTTGTTTTCGTCATTATTTCCAGCCGAATTGCTGTTGCTAGGCTGGTTGCTGCCATTTCGATTGCTACCGGTGCCACGTGCGACAGTTGGAGACATTGACTGTTGCTGTTCGGCTGGGGGCTCTGGACCATCCTCATCAACACGATCATTGTCGCGAGTCCGATCCAACTCTTCAGGCGGTCTACTACCGGTGCCGCGTGCGGCAGTTGGAGACATTGACTGCTTCTGTTCGACCGGGGGCTCTGAACCACCCTCTTCGTCCATAGCTCCAGCTATTGCGTTGCCAGTTGTAGCTGAAGAAGCAGCAGAACCTCTTTCATTTTGTGCCCCAATGGTGACCTGCTCTTGTGCTACTGCCGCCCCTGTTGTAGCTGCACCATTGTCGGCATTGTCATCCTCGCCGTCATCTGTTGGGAATTGTTCCGGGGATGTTTCTGCTGCTACCGTGCCAGGAGTTGCTGCCTCAGCTTGTTGTGCAAATCCAAACAAGCTATGCGCACCCAATACTGTTCTCTGAGAATAAGCAAAACTTAAATCCACAGGTTTTGATGCGTCATTGTCATCTTCATTGTTTTCCTGTGGCACATCCCTTGCTTGCCCATCAGAGGTGCTAGGTGAAGAATCGTCTTGATTATTGTGACTGGGTCTGTCGCAAGGACTGCCCTCTTGCTCCTGCTGAGCGCTGTTTTTGGTTTCTTGGTGCTGTTTCCGTGTGTGATCCTCGTCATCATCTTCTTCTTTAGACTCTTTTCTTTTCTGCTTTTGCTGCTCTTTCTGTTTTCGTTCTTCCTCTTCCTGGAGCCACTGTTCTTCCAACTCTGCCTGTTGATTGGCAACGTCCTCTTCCAGCGCTTCTTCCATGGAGATTTGTTCCTGCATACTGAGTGTCGGCGGTTGTCGATCTTTGGCAGCATCAATGAGTGCTCTTTCGTGACTTGCAATGACGGAGTCCTGTTGTTGCTGATACCATTCATGGATTCGACCTTGTGTGGGAATATGGGCTGGCAGTTTGCTGCTATTATTTTGTTTGGGTTTTTCGTTCGGTTTGCTTTTGCGTGCTTGTTGTTGTTGGCTTTCTTTGAGAACTTTTTTCCAAGTCCGCGAGACGAGTAACTGCGTATGACTGGCAACCAGTCCTTGATTTCGGCGTTGGAGCGGTTCCATGGTCAATAACGACGACTCGGCAGTCATTTCTCCCGGCGCAATCTGCGTCATGGCATTGTAGGACGGATCGAACTGTACCGGCGCCAATCCAAAATGCCGCAGAGCCACCTTGTATGCCTTGGTCAGTTGATTTAAAATGGGTGCTGGCGCCATGGATCGCTTGGTGGCTTTGGTGAGACAAGTGGGACATCGAGATTGACCTTGTCTCAGGGCTTGTTGAATACAGGATCGACAATAGGCGTGAACACAAGGAAGTACTACGGCATCTCGATAGGACGACAGACAGAGTGGGCAAACGAGTGCTCGGCCCATGTTGGTAAGCTCATCCTGGAGCGTGTAAAATAGACTTCCCAGTGAGCTCATGTCATTGTCGTCACTGCTCTTGGGCTTGGCCATGGTATTGGCTTCCGTCGTTATAATTGTTGCCATGGCATTGCGTACTTCTTTGATAAAAGGCGGATGAAGACTTCGAGCCATTCAAACGAAAGTTGAGGCTCAAAGATGGCGCCAAAACGAGTGCACGTGGCTGGCAGGCCAACGTCTTTCATTCCCATGAGGTAGTCCCGGATATGAATCAGCAGCTTTGCAGGCCACAAATCATCAGCAACTAATTTTCAAAAAAAAGTTGGCGACAGTGGCGGGGCGGCGACGCGACGCGACGGCTCCCTTCTCACAAGAAGGCTTTCAAGCAACGCCCCGGTTCGTGCCAGAGTAACCGGAATAGAGTCAGAGTCGCGTCATCCAAAGAGCAACCAAAGCAACCAAAGCACCCCTGATGAACGCAACCTTCTCCAGGAAGCACAATTAATTGATGGCTTGCCTCTAGCTAGCTAGCTCTATTTGGTTCACGCCAAACTCGGAATAGTACCAAGAAACACGGCAACTTTCTTTTGCGGGGATCAAGGATTCTTGGATACCCTCGATCGAGATTGAATTGAATCAATCATTCCGATATTGCAAGGATAGGATAGGATAGTGCTAGCTAGTGGCACAAAAATGAGCACTGCATTCACATTAGCCTCAGGTCAAGTCGTTGAAACTCCACATTCGCCATCCAATATGACGGATAATTCGGATACCGAGGCAGTTCTCGTTGAGAAAACTCCCGCGAAACGGGAGACGGATGTTGCTGCTAGTATGGCGTTAACACACACGAGTATGGCGACCGATCCCATGGCAGAGGCTCCCAGCAGGTCGGGCAGCAGTCTTTCTCTAGCCCAAGCCGACGCCAAAGGAAACGGTCCTTATCAGTCGCTGATCCCCAGCGATGACCCCAATCTCGTGTCATGCCACACTCCTCCCACTCGCATGGAAGTCGCTGCCTGTTCTGTGTTCTTTGTGGTGGTACAAATTGCAAGTCTGGTGGCGTATATCTACATTGAACCCACCATGAGACCCATCCCAGTGGATTACTTGGAAGGATCGCAAGAATATATCAAGAATCAAGTGAACACGGAAGAAGACCACGGAGAGACCCTTGGAACCATTGAGCTAATTGCGCTCTGTTGGCTCGCTCCTTTCTTGATCCAGGCGTAAGTCACATATCACAAGCAAAAAAGCAACATATTCTCACATGACATGGTCTAATGAGACTAACTAATCCTGGATCTTGATTGTTCTATTTTTGTCGTGACAGAGCCGTGGGAATGGCGATTGGGAGAGTGGGCGACACTCATAGGACTCTTTGTGTTTGGGCCACCGCCACTTCCTTGACATCCTTTGCCAGTGCTCTCATCAAATCATACGTCGGTAAGTTAGTTGTGAGGAGTACGGAGGTATCTATAGGAAAGCAAGAGTTGAGTCTCTGATCACGACAAAAATAAACTTGCTTGTAGGATATCTGCGTCCCGTTTTCTTTGAATGGTGTGAACCGGACGAGGCATATGGATCCTGCTCTTCCGAATATGAGCGTGAGGCGAGGACATCGTTCATCTCTGGTCATGCCAGCTTTGCTTTCGTGGGATGTGTAGTCTTTTCCATGTTTCTGGAATACACCTTTGGTCTCTCCAGTGTCGAAATGGCAGTTGCAAGGCATCTTCCCGCGCCAGAACAACCCGCGGATGGAACACAACAACAACCAACATCCGGAGGCATCTACTGGGCTGTGGCATACAAAAAGAGCCCAGGATTGCGGAGAGTAGGGTCCTTCCTGGCCCTGCTTCCCGTGGCAGTGGCAATTTGGGTAGCATGTTCTCGTGTGGTGGACAACGTACACTTTCCAGCGGATATTGTGGGTGGTGCACTGGTCGGAGCTGGTATCGCCTCATTCTGTCACAAGCTGTGGTAAGTACGGTGCCATACATACATTGGTTTAGGCTTTCCTGGTCATTTTCCTGTCGAGCAAACTAACCCACGCTCTTGTTGAATTGCAATCTCCAGGTTTCCAGAGCCGAGGTTTATGCCGTGAATATCCTCCTTCGCCCCAAATTGTGCAATCTAATTTAGTGGAAATTATTCATCTGCTGAACAACAGTTACTATTCAGCAAATGACTTCCCTCATCTCCCCCCTGAGAAGAACGGGTACTCCCTGGGAGTGGCTGCGCAAACGATTGCTTTGATTGGAAGAGGACAACAGACGTAATAAATGTCATAGATAGAAACAAACAAGTGTTGAAAGTAGTGTTGTAACCTACATCATCTAAACAGCGACTTGGGTTTCCATTTGAAGGACATATCTCTATCTCGAGACTTTGCATATGTCTATTAGCTAGTACGAGTACTAGTACGTACATAGAAGAACTGAATGATCTGTCAATCTACACAAGGGCCATTTCTAACAGGTCAGGCGGACAAGGGCAGCCGTTTTCTTGGGCCCATCTTAGCACTTGCAAATGCTTGCTTCTGGCAGCATAGATGCATGTCCATTCATCCCAAGAACAACCGTTTTCACGTGCATACTTCAGTATCCGCAAATGTCCACCCTTGGCAGCCTTGGAGCAGGTTGAGGCATCCCAGGGACAACCATTTTCGTGAGCAAATTTCAAAGCTTTCAGCTGCCCTCGTTCAGCAGCCAAAGAACAAGTGTTGGCATCCCATGGGCAGTTGTTTTCATGGGCATACTTGAGGCAATCTATATGGCCACCAGCTGCTGCATGATGAGATGTGAGACTATCCCACCGGCAACCATGTGTGTGGGCATACTCTAGGATATCATAATGTCCACCCATAGCTGCATAAAAGCATGTGTATTCATGCCAGGGGCAGCCGTTATCATGGGCATACTTTAAGACATCCAAGTGTCCATTTTGAGCAGCACGACTGCAAGTTTCTTCATACCAAGGACATCCGTTTTCGTGTGCATACTTTAGGGCATCCAAGTGGCCATTTGCGGCGGCCCCAACACAGGTCCCTTCATCCCAAGCAAGCCCCCTTTCATGGGCCCATTGAAGAATTGCAAGACTGCCTACCTGTGCCGCTGCTCGGCACAGAACAATCTCCTCCTTGCGAGTGTTCTTGGTGGACTTTGAGTCATTGTGGTACCAGTACTCAAGTAGAAAATGGAGTGACGAAAGCGGTTGGGCGATTCTTGATATATCCTTATACCAGTACTCGGCACGGGTCACACTGGCACAGACTGCTGTGTAGAGTGTGTCAGTGCTGGTCGCTTGTTTCGAGAGGCCAAAACCACCTGCCTTTATGGAAGGAGGCATGTCTACTGTAGAGCAGTACATCAGATATAGATTCTTCATTCTGCGATTGACTCCTGCCACAAAGGCATAGTGCCCCATGCCAAGAAAGGGGAGGACCCCTTTTACCCAAATCATATCATCTATTTGATCCCATTTCACAAGGATCTTTCGAGATGATTCGGTTTGTTGGTGGGCTCGTTTCTGCGGGAGACATTTCTTCGCTGCCGCAGACTTCTGGACCATGCTTTCATCGTCGCCAACTTGCATTGAAGGTTTCGAGAGCGCCATGGGATGATCTACTAGAAAGGATACCATGATGACTGTGGGACAGAGCCGCAGAGCGATGTACCGGTGGGAAAGTATGAAGAGTAATGTCCTGATGGGAGAAACACCGCAGAGCGATCGATGTACCGGTAGATGTACCGATAAGGAAAGTAAGGAGGAAAGTAAGGAGGAATTGAATGAGCAACAAGAGAGGATCCCTATGATGACTGATGCGATGGGACAGAAGCCGCAGAGCGATGTCCCGGTAGGAAAGTAATGCGATGTGCCGGTAGTCTAGTAGTCTAGGAAAGTAATGAAGATGTCTCTTCCTGATCTGCTTCTGGTTATTTCCACAAGCCTGGAACAAACGACCATCACATCTGGCAATAAGAAGAACAGGCTGCTGGGATCCTTTTTGTCTAAATAACCGTCTCGTCGCCAGCTTTTCTCTCTAAATGAAAGCGTGTTTGGGTGTCACAAACAAAATTGTGAGGAGAAAGAAATTTCATAAAACTTCCACGCTCAATCGGCGACAGCGTGGATTGATTTGCGTTCGGCATCTTTGGCCATGATTGGTTCGACGATTGTGGCACCTTCCAGCTCCGTTTCGACCTTGTCGCATCTATGCATATGCCAGGACATGCCAGGATCATCCCCACCATGACACCGGAGTTATCATTTCCGATCCAGCATCAATTTTCTTAGCCGCCTGCTGTCGATATTTCAGCTCTGACGTTATCGGTACGGGATCCGACAGTGCCATGCCTCTTGGTGGCTCCACTCGGAGTGACCATGCCCTTCATCAATTACGGCTCCTTGACGGCTGCATCTTTTGTGCATTCGCTGCTGTAAATTGCTGTGCCAAAGGATCATAGCAGAATCAAGGGCGAGGTGGCATTGCCTACGATATACAGATTCCATGATGTTATTTACCTCGCTGTCAAAGCAACGCAACAATTAATTTGCTTGTGATATTTCCGATTAGTTTCGGTTTCGATTTTGGCAGCGATCTTTGTGATCTTTTCCAAATACCACAATTGACTTGGCTGGAAGTCCTGCTACGGAAAGAAATGAAGATGGGAAGTGCACCTGTGTAGTCGCCAAGAACGGCCAATAACACCTCTACCACCGGATCATCAGGTTTTACACAAAGAACTGAAACAACTAAGATCACAGTTAGAAAAGAATTGTGTCCACAGCAGAAAAAGAGCATTCGAGTATTCGTTATTACGATCTGAAATCGCGTTGCGGTTGGATCCGGGTGTAAAATCCTCGAGCAACCCGCCGCGGGATTCTATTTGGTGAAGAAAAACAATCCATGATAACAAGCCAAGAGCGGTAAAGAACAGGTTCATTTGATTCAACCAAGCAAACAGGGAACACCAGATCTCTGGAGATCTCTGGACAAACTTGGTGCGCACGAAGCAGCGGTAGGCACCCCACAGCTGTACCATTATGTCTATCCTTGGGTGAACGCAGATGCAGTGGAGGCAGAAACTCACTTTTTGCTTTACTGTAGTTTCCTTTTAAAATGTTAGAGTTAACGCAGTAGTAATAGCCATCCAAATCGAAGGATTAATCGAATCCACCACAAGACACCACCGGTGCCGGTACAGTACTGGTAACTGCATGAAGTTCAGGCATTCCTCTTCAACAACATCTTGTGAACCCAAGCCTTTGTCAACAAATGATCTTCCTCCCATGGGCAACCATTATCAATTGCATATCTGAGGCAATCCAAGTGGCAACATTTGGCTTCATGTTTGCATATAATTTCATCCCATGGACAGTCATTTTCATTGGCATACTGCAATATCTTCAAATGCACACCCCCAGCGGCCCCGTAGCATGCCTCATTGTCCCATGGACAACCATTTTCATGGGCATACTTCAATATCTTCAAATGCCCTTCCTGAGCGGCCTTGGTGCATGTCTCTTGGTCCCATGGGCACCCATTTTGATGGGCATACTGCAATATCTTGAAATGCCCTTCCTGAGCGGCCTTGGTGCATGTCTCTTCATCCCAGGGGCAGCCATTTTCATGGGCATACTTCAATATTTCCAGGTGTCCATTTGCAGCAGCTTCAAAGCATGTCTCTTCATCCCATGGGCAATTGTTTTCATGGGCATACTTGAGGAGATCAAAATATCCAAATTCAGCAGCCTTCGCACATATTTCCTGGTTCCAAGGGCAGCCATTTTCGTGGGTATACTTCAATGTCTCCAAACAACCAGAAAGAGCAGCACAAAAGCATGTCGCATCATCCCAGGGACAACCATTTTCATGTGCATACTTCACTATTTCAAAATGACCCCAAAGAGCAGCATTTGCACAGGTGTCAGCATCCCATGGACAGTCATTTTCATGTGCATATTTAAGAATTTCTAAGTGTCCACCTTCTGCTGCAGAAGCACATGTCCATTCATCCCATGGACAGCCCTCCTCCCTGGCCCACTTCAAAATGTCAATGTGTCCACCACCTGCTGCAAAAAAGCATGTCCGATCATCCCATGGGCAGCCCTTATCTCTGACCCATTTCAATATGTGGAAGTGGCCACTGCCTGCAGCACTTGAACATGTAAATTCATCCCAAGGACAGCCATTTTCATGGGCATACTTCAAGCATGCCAGGTGGCCACATCTCGCAGCATTTGCACATACCTCTTTATCCCATGGACAGCCTTTTTCATGGGCATAATGGAGGCATTCTAAGTTGCCACCTTTGGCAGCATTTGCACACACTTCTGCATCCCATGGACAGCCTTTCTCATGGGCATACTTGAGGCATTGTAAGTGACCCTCTTTGGCTGCATTTTTGCATGTGTCTTTGTTCCATGGACAGCCATTCTCATGAGCGTATTTCAGGATTTTCAAATGCCCCTTTTCAGCAGCTACTCTGCATGTGTGTTCATCCCAAGGACAGCCATTTTCATGGGCATATTTAAGCACGTCCAAATGGCCATTTGCAGCAGCTCTGGAGCATGTTTCACTGTCCCATGAAAGCCCATGTTCATGAGACCACTGAGTGACTGCAAGGTTTCCAACCTTTGCTGTGCTTTGACAGATCATTATCTCCTCTTCGTGAGTCTTTATGGTGCCATCGTTGTACCAAGACTCTGCACAAGACACACTAGCACAAACTGCTCTGTAAAATGTATCAGTGCTGCAGGCTTTTCCAAAGTCCCACCGATTCCATCTCACACAAGGCCGCATGTCTATCACTAGCATTGAGCAGTATGTCACATATAGATCTCTCATTCTGTGATTGACTCCTGCCACAAAGGCATAATACCCATGCCAACAAAGGGAAGGATGCCATTGACCCAAATTGCATCATCCAGTTGATCCCATTGCGCGTACGTTGAAGCACTGGTTTCGTGATGGTTGGCTTGTTTGTACCCAAAGCACTTCATCATGACAGCCATTGCTTCAAGCTTTTGGTTGATACTCTCATCATCACCATTTGCTTGCATTCGCACCAGCGCGCTTTTGCAGAGTGAGAGGGCCATGTCAAAGTCCTCTGGGCCAGAAGCACGAGCAAGGGATTGTTCTGTGGAAGTAGGAGTTGCCATGATGCTGAAGGAAACAAGCAAAAGATGAGTGTTTTGTGAGTACTACTGTAGTGCAGTGACCAAGAAGTGAGTCCAGGAGAAACGTGATGATTCAAACTCGATCTATGACCCCCAGGTCCCGTAGGATCAGCTTTTTTCTGGTACTCAGAAATCTTCTACGGCATCTTGCGTGCATCTGGTAGGAATTCTACCACCAGAAAACAACGGCGCTGACACAACCCAACCAACCAAATGAAACAACAAAGCATCCACCATGCCATGACAGTGAAGATGGCAACAGATCTGTATTATCATGTTACCCCGGAGGTGCTGTGGACCTGTGTAGGCCTTCTATACCCACTTACTGACAAACGCCTGAAAAACATTCAAGGTGTTAGCAGTGAAATGAAGAGAACAAAGCAGTTGAAGCAGCAGAATGAGGTTGTTGTCGCTCACCAAAAAAGAGAAATTCTGCTGTTGTGGTTGACACCTTGGCTGCTTACCATAAGAGATTGGATGGAAAATTCCTTTTGGTAGCAACAGAAGGATGGCGCTACTGCTTGAGGTTGTCAAATGGCGCAGAAGACATCCTTTCAAAGCCCTTTTGGGTAGAGAGAAGTGCCACCTTTCGCCTCTGTTCATCCCAAGCTTGATCAATACTCATTTGATTGATCCTGTCATGTTCGAGAGCCTTGAGTTTGTTCTTCCTTTGAGTGTAATTCAAAGCACTCATCTCCTCAGTTGCCGCTGGCCCCATTCGATGGAGTAGCTCTGCAAGAACATCGGCAGTGTGTTCTTTGGCAATCATGCGAGAATATTGAATGAGGCCTTGCATTTGGATGGTGACATCCACTCCAGTGTTTCTTTGCCTCTCATTCTCCTTTCTGTTTTTCCCACTATTCTGCAGGACATTGTCTCGAAGGAGATTAAGTCGCTCATGCTTGAAGTGCTGCTTCTTCATGGACAGTTCCAATTGCGAGATGGCTTCCTTGTACTCCAGTTTCGGCAATACGTCATGGGCAATCCGACAACAATGGTCTTCAGAACTCTTGATTAGCTTTCGAATACGCTGATTTGCCTTCATGTCGCTGAGCTTGCCAATGGAATAGACATTCGCATCGATGTTGATTGCATAAGCACTGCGCAATTCCTCAGCTCTGTCTGTGGAAGAGACATTCTTAGCCAGCTTGACTCCAGCTTCAACGAAGTGTGTGTGCGAAGCAAGAGGTAGATAAGACGTTAGCAGATATTGTTTGAATGCATTTGCCATGTTCTCCTCGTCTCTGTAGTCCAGCCCACTCAGTCGCAATTCGGCAGCATGCACTGCCAATGGATGGTAGGTCGGCTCAAGATAAGTAATAGCCTTTGTCTTTTTGTCTTTGCTGAAGTTCGAAACAGAAACTTCTGTCTTGAGAAAGGAAAAGAACTCTTTCAAAGGGAATGTTCGCTCATGTACTTCTGAGTCAAACTGCACAAGCTGGAAGGCTGGTGTTCCTTCTTTCTTCAACAGGACGTGCGCAACAATGTCGGCAAGTGGTTCTTCTGAGAGAAGTGCCGCCGGAAACAAGTCTTGAGTGCATGTACGCCGGAAGTGTTTGTGGGCCATCTTCAATGCCAGATCGATGAACTGTTTCGCCTTGTCAGTCTGATGTAGTTTCTGTTCAGGCGACAGAGTCTCTAATGTGAGCCGGAATCCCTGGAATGATGGATGGGTTGTGGACCAGTTCTTCTTCATTGACTGTAAGTCTGCAACAATGAGATAGTAGCGCCCTACCATGCTGTGTGTTTGGAAGCCGCAAATCTGTGACAAGTCTGTTTCTTCTTGCATCCATTTGAAGTGGGGGCACAGATATCCGGTGTGGTATTCAACCAAGAGGTTCAAATCAGAGAAGAGCATCCTCTCACAGAGCAGCGGGTGCAGATTAGAAGCGGTCTTACCAGCCTTATCGCTTCCTTGTACATTGATCACGCACTGACATATTCTGATCAGAAGAAGGTAGATGGAAAGAACCATCCTTCCACAGTCGCCAACACTCCACCATCTTGTTAGAACTGGTGCCTGGATCTTGTGTCGGAGAAGCTTCTTGATTTCGTCATCGAGTTCCTTGAAGGTGGCAAACGTCTTGACTGTTTCCCACTTTCGAGCGAAGGCTTGGTCTGCAACTGTCTCGCCTACATAAGTAGCAGTAAGGTAAGTGTCGTGGAATACAATCGCCTCTTGCACATATGTTCTCCAGACGTCCAATTCCATGCTGTCTTGCAAATCTGACACTGAATGTAGCAACTGCATGACATTCTTCTTCTCCAAAGCTCCTTCGCCCATCAGGCTTTTCACACTGTTGGCCATCGTCAGTTGCAAGTTGTGGAGCGAACAAGATGCAATCCAGTAGGGTTGGTGGCAGACATTCAGGTTTTGAAGTGAAGCAGCCAATCCATCCAACACACCACCTCCACCACTGTCGGTGGTTTGGCCTTTGATCTTGGGACAACCGACTTTCTTCAAGGAAGACACCACTGCATCAGCACAAGGATCCGTTGTTCCTTCACTTGCATCTATGTCAAGCAACCTTTTCACCACTCGCATCTTCTCAATATCATAGTAGTGAACAAACTTTACAAAGTGTCCAACCCCTTTCTTGTTTCCTTTGTCACAGGATAAAAAGATTGTCTTCCCTTTCAGTGTGTCTGCCAGTTGATGGACGTTCTCTGCAGCAAGTCGGTACAGCATGTCCCGTAGAGTGGACTCTGATGGGAAAGAGCTGGAAAAGGTATCGAGATTGCTTTTCTCCAGAATACCGAAATCAATAAGGAAGGAAGCCACTATCATTGGGATAATAATTGCTGCCTGTGATAGTGGTAGAGCGGGACAGCTGGACAGTGCAACACTCAGTAGAGTTCTCATGAGAGGAGAACCACCTTGGAACAACTGATAATCGAAGCCCTTCTGTAGACACTTCATCTGAGCTTCCACATTCCTTAATCGCTCAACTTGACACTTTGGCAATACTGTATGAGTGTGGGGAACCTCTTCAATGGAGAACGTACTGCCCTGGCTGCTGATGTCGATTGATCCCACTTGAATTTCTTCCTTTGCTTTCTTCCTCTTTCGATTGTCAACAATTTCCGGGGTTTCCACTGGAAGAATTTCGACAACTTCCAAAGTCGTTCTGGCAGTTTCATTTCCCAATGCCTCCTTGGTTGTGGAATGCGATGCTGACGATGGTGTGCACATTCGATCGCGGTTCCCATTCAAATGGAAATGACTTTTGAGGTAGACGTCCAGCCTTTTATACCAGTCTACTGACATGTTGAACTTCTCAGGAATGTATTCCTCATCCGGGAGCCCAAACTTCCATGGCTGTCTGCATGTGAACTTGTCTCCTGTGTGGCTGATGCTGCGATGTTCCCTCTTGGTGTATTCGCGAGAGTCAATATAAAAGACACATCCAGAGCAACAGAACTCCCTTGCGAGTGGCCACTCAGTGCAGTATTCTATTCGCCGGATGGATTTGAGAGGGTAGATCTTCTGGACTGGACTGTCAACATCATCCCCATTGCGTTTTCTACTGCTGCGCCGAGTCACTCCGGCGCTGCTACTACTAATAGCGTTAGACAAAGAGGCCATGGTCAAGGTTGATTGATTCAGTTTCCTATAGTTATCTATCTAGATTACACTTCGAAGCATCTCCATCCAACAGAAACCAACAAGCCATCCAACACGGCAAATCCGTTGGTTCTCTCATTCCGATGTGTTTCGATACTCAAGAAAATGTGAGTGTTGGCGGCTCATGATGTCATGATGCGACAGGTCTCTAAGTCTTTGTAGAAAGTAGCACATTTCCTCTTTGTTTTAGAGTTCGGGTTCGCCGGTGAATGTTCCTGGAAATGCCCTTGCTAAGATGTCTAATAGCAACCTCAAAACTTCTCCTCGCGACACAGCAAGGGCGGGGATCGTTTGTCGGTAATATAATGCAGGTGTCCCTGCCCTTGCTGTGTCGGGAGGATACAGTTTGAAATTTTTACTATCATGCTTAGCTAGCCGTTTGTGTTCGGGCCAAAATCGTTGCGAAAAAAATAGCACGCGGGCCGTCCGCGATCGCTGGCTGTGTTCAGTCCTGGGGGTCCTAGATTCCATTCGTTCCGTGGTTCCGCGGATCGGATACCGGTATCCTTTTTTGGATCTTTATCTCATCTTTTCCTGACAGCAGGCTTCTTTTCTCTGGAGGAGTGCTCTTCATAGCAACACAAGGATAGTCAACCGGATAAGCCACATCCACGACGAAAGAACCTTTATCATGACATCTCGTTCCGGTGAAGCCGACCACGGCGTATCAGTGGAGAATCAATGGTATGACGACTGGGTGAAAGAGAACATCCCAGATCTTTCTGGCAAGGTGAGCCGACTTTAGCTGAAGGCTACTAGTAGTCCAATAATGTCACTCCTCGTGTATGTCTGATATATGATAAATTTTCTGTCTCTGGACAGGTGGCAATTGTAACCGGTGGAAACAGCGGAACAGGATTCTGGGCTGCCAGTGCTTTGGCTGGCAAGGGATGCACTGTTGTCCTTGCTTGTAGGAATGAAGCCAAGGCGAATGCGGCCAAGGATGAAATTATTGGGTATCACCCAGAAGCCAAAATGGATGTGATCGTTATGGATAACATGGACCTTTCTACCGTCAAGAGCTTTGCAGAAACATTCAACGGCAAATACGATCGCTTGGATTTTTTGTTGAACAACGCTGGAATCATGGCCCAGCCATTGATTAAGTCGAAGGATGGCCACGATATCCAGTTCCAAACCAATCACCTTGCGCACTTTTTACTCACGCAGCTCCTTTGGGAGAAGATGCTCAACACAGAAGGGGAAAGCAGAATTGTCAACCACTCTTCTGGTGCCCACAAAATGGGAAGCCCTGCCTTTGATAAGAATAACATGGAAAACCCATCCTACAGCTGGGGTATCTTGGGTTTTAATGCCCTCCTGTGGCATGGCATGTTGCCCTTGATGGGGATGAAGCCACTCGACAATTGGAAGCGTTATGGGACCAGCAAGCTCTGTAATGTTCTTTTTACAAAGGAACTCGACAGGAAAATTCAAGAAAAAAGCCTCGCAGAGAAAGTCATTTGTGTAGCTTGTCATCCTGGATATGCCAACACAAACTTACAAAACGTGGCCAAGGATAGCATGAACAACTGGGAAAAGATGAATTCTGGCAATGCCCAGTCTGCCGCGGATGGCAGTCTCCCCTTGTTGCTTTGCACTGTTGGCAAGGATGTCAAGGGAGGGGACTACTGTGAGCCCAGTTTGGCGACGAATTTCAAGGGACCCCCTATTGTTGGTAAGGTTGGAGGCAACGGAAACAATGCCGAGATGGCGAAAGAACTCTGGTCATATTCGGAGGAGATCCTCGATACCACTTTCTCCGTCTAGCGAGATGACACGGGACCGTGAATGTTTATTCTATTTGGTGGGAGATGCCCGTCCTGTTGTCTCTTGTCACCGTTTTGAACCGTCTGGTACTCCAGAGAGGCAGTTTACAAGTTGTAGCGCTTGTTTTTGTGTTTGATACTTACCAGGTACCATCAATTCATTGTAGAATGTCATGTGAAATTGTGTAGTTGTCGTAGTAAACTTACTTGTCCTCGTTGGATGGCCACGCAGTGAGAAAGAACTGACTGTGCTATGTGGCTGGCTCTGTCTTCAGGCGGGACAATCGCAGCTCTACTGGCTCGCCACTTCTTGGGAAAAAACAGTATAAGGCTCAGGATAACAAAAATGGGAGTGGCAACAAGGGCAAGGGACAACACCTCCACAAGGAAAGTCCTCGTCACATTCTTCCATTCCATGTGACAACGATGAGGCGTCTGTCTTGGTTTCATTGCTGCTTCATCCTTTGGACTTGGTTGGAGGTGTTCCCAGCAAGTTCCTTCCCATTGTTTGGTGTATCCAAGCGCAAAAACTGTGGAAGACTCAATTCTTCTTCTTCCACCACACCGACATCTCACGAGAGATTGCTGCTGTCGGGTCAGAAACCTCCTTTCTTGGCCGTTATCACGGAGCCAGATGCTTGTGGCAGTGATGAACGAGTCGCTCAAACTCTGCACGTGCTCCAGAGAGTCTTGTCAGTTTCTGGGGTGAATCTGATATCTGTCCGAGTTACCAGTGACAGCAAGAAATCTCGGGTGGTGCAACTAGTAAGAGGTTTGGTACAACTTGCTGAAGGAGAATCATCATCAGAGAACCCCGGGGTCCGTATAGTTGTAACGAGCGATTGGGTGGATGCTGCAATGGAGGGTGGTGCTCATGGTATTCACGTCAAAGAGTCCCATCGAGAAAGGATTCCTGAAATTCGGAAACAGTTTGAGCCACGACAACCGTTGATTGGGACCTCGGCACATTCCATTGTCTCGGCTCAAAGCGCCATGCAGAACTTTCAGCCGGATTATTTGTTTGTGGGAACTTGCTATCCCACACAAACGCATCCCGAAAAGTTGGATCTGGAAGGACCCGAGTTGCCAGGTCAAGTGATGGAAGTCATCCAGTACGGCTGCCCTGTCTTCGCCATTGGTGGCATTCATGCCAACAACTGTGCGGAACCAATCTCCATGGGGGCAACGGGTGTGGCAACGATCAGGGCCATCCTGCAGGCTAAGGATCCAGCTGTGGTGGTGTGTGGGATGAAGCACAACATGCAACAGGCCTTTGTTAAAAGTGAATGAAAGAGTCATACATTGGAAGGAAAGTTATTAGTTACACAAGAGGAGTTTCGATCAACTTACAACTGCCTGATGCTGGTACGACTAATGGAAGCACATGATATAGCTGACGATACAGCACCGCGTGTTCTCACTGACCTTGGAAACTAGCTTCTTGGGAGTTTGAACAGCAGATTTGCTGTCAAGGGTTTGTGATTCAAACGAACCCAACTATAATCCCGGATGAAAGATGATGATATAGACACATCGCTGTACTTACAATGTACATGCGCCGTCAAGTCGTACAACAGCTGCAGGCTGTCCTGTTGCAAAACCCTTTTCTCGGGTACAAGGACAATACTCGGGAATTAGATGTTGGCACCTGGGTAGTACGGTACGCTACGAAGTGCTCCGCGGGGAAGATGTCATGCGCCACATGATCTACAAATAGATTGACCCC